TGAAAACGAGGCTGACCCCGATGTTGATTGGAAAGACATACAAGCAGCTGTGGAAACAGCAGTGACATCTACTAGTGATTTAAACCACAGAGTTACAAAGAACCAATGGATTTCGTCAAGGTCTATTGCACTGATAGATTCTCGTAAACTCATCCCATCAGGTTCTGAATACGATGAAGAGCGTAAAGAAATCAGATCTAGATTAAGCAAAAGTCTAAGGAACGATCGTGAGCAGTGGTGGGCAACGAAAGCAAAAGAGATGGAAAAGGCGGCGGCTATAGGGAACACAAGACAACTCTACAGACTAATAAAAGAAACTGGAATTAATAAATCAAGTGTAAGTCAGACCATTTCGGAAAAAGACGACACTCTCATCTGCTCCCAGTCCAGACGCTTAGAACGATGGGCGGAACATTTTAAGGAGCAGTTTAGCTGGCCTTCGGCTACTCTACAACTACCCTCTATTCCCAGACAGTATGAATGGAACATTGAAGTAGGTCCCCCATCTCTAGCTGAAGTTCAAAAGGCTATAGCTAATCTGAAACGAGGAAGAGCAGCTGGTCCAGATGGATTGGCCCCAGAGGTCTTTAAGGATGATGGTCTAGTTTTAGCGATTAGGTTGACTAATATTTTAGCTAAAATCTGGGAGTTAGACGCCATACCATCTAACTGGGATGCGCTTCTCTCCCTCCAAATGCAAGTTGTTGCTTCAGGACTGGTCTGCATCAACACCTGAGCTAAGGATAGGGAGTGAAGTAGTCGAACGCGTCGACAACTTCACTTGTCTTGGAAGTCTGATCAGCCCTAATGGGTTGGTGTCTGACGAAATCTCAGCACGGATTCGAAAAGCTCGTTTGGCCTTTGCCAACTTACGTCATCTATGGCGAAGGCGAGATATCCGTCTATCAATTAAGGGACGACTATACTGCGCGGCAGTTCGTTCCGTTCTACTATACGGCTGCGAAACATGGCCTTTAAGAGTAGAAGATATTCGTAAGTTACTAGTATTTGACCACAGATGCCTTAGAAATATTGCGGGTATCTGCTGGGATCACCGGGTAAGTAATAGTGAGGTTAGACGCCGCAAGGTATTAGCGAATGATGGTAAATCAGTTGATGAGGTTACGAATATTCATCGATTGAGATGGTTGGGCCACGTGTTGCGTATGCCTGAACACCAATTACCACGATGCGCAATGCTAACCGGTGTTGGGGACGGTTGGAAGAAAGTTAGGGATGGCCAAACCAAAACGTGGCATCAGTGCTTGAATTCGCTAACTTCTGGTCTGAGCCATGTTCGTAGACGCAGACTACTTGGTTGGGGTCCACACAACTATTGTTACCAATGGTTGGAGACTCTTGGTGACATGGCTCAGAATCGATCACAATGGCGTCTGTGTATACACTCTCTGTCTTCCTTTAAACTAAGAGATTAAAATCACTTCAAATCTTCCTTTCTAGGAAGTAATTCTATCTTCCTGTACTATCTCCTTATACACACTCTTTCTTCTATGTATTACCACCACTGAATTAACTACTTCTATGAATCCGGTGTTCCTCTTGTTGTGCTAATGCGGTATGGCAACTTGGACCGATGCATATACGTGCCTGGTCCTACGTTGCAGCTGACTGACAGACTGACCAGGGAGTATATAATTATCATTAGAACAACGATTTTTTTTAAACAATTTATTAAATAGAGAATTATTTGTCATCAAGTAGATCTTCACTAGAAACCAGAGATCTCAACATACATATTATATGTAGGTTTATTGATAGTTACATAGTTGTCTTAAATTGATAAAGTAGACTATTGGAATGTCTCCTTCTATTTTGTTCTGCTATATATGATGATATCATGTTTAATTGCTAGTAAGCTTAAGTAACAGTGGAGCACTTCATTCATTTCAATAAGTTCATATTGAAGAATTTTCAGGGTTCTAGTATGAAATTTTGACCAATTACTTCTATGAATTTGGTGTCCATCTTTTTGTACTAGCGAGCCATGGTAACTCGGACCGATGCATATATATTCCTGGTCCTACGTTGTAGATGACTGACTGACTGACTGAACCATTATTTACCTTCAAGTATGGAAATTCTCTAATAGTTCTGTATGTAGAAATTATGTTTATTCTTTTTATTATATAATCATTATATATTAACTTATGATAATATAATTTATGAACGAGCCAATCAAGAAGCGTTTGAGGGGATTTCAAGATCATGGAGCCAATTTCAATACTTAATGCTCATGTACTATCGGTTCATATAGGATTTTACAGAAGATGTTATAACTGAGCAGTTACAACATATGGGATTATTAAGATGTTCCTTTATTTGTAATTGTGTTAATCAAATGACTTGTGGACCTTGTGCAGACTAACATGATGATGTTGTCTTTCGATGTAATATATATTGGAGTAAGAAGTCTACTAGAATAGGAATTTTTTCGCTTGATTCAAATTGGGACTAAAGCAAATTATGATAATTGTTGCGAACTGGATAAAAAAAAGCATCAGTAACAATGGCTGTAACATTTGCAGATGTTACTGAAGCTTCGGCAGTTTAGTGATATAAGTATTTTAAAGATAAATGAGTAGTAAAACTGATAAGCTTACACGAGTCGTTTGGTGGAGTCGGCAGAATCGTTGAAATAGGTGAAACAGTTGTCAGAATATGAAAATTCGACAAAGGATGTAGTGTTAAAGAAGACTGGATAAGTAGCACTTCCATAAATATACCTCACAGATTCGATTTAATATATGCTGGACGAAGAAGTCTGCTAGAATTGGATAGTTTTGCTCAATCCAGATTAAGAATAAGGCCAATTATGACAATTGTTCGAACTGGATAATAAAAGCACCAGTAAGACTGACTGTAGCCGGATACTAAAATATATACGGATGATTTGGAGAGCGTATAGATTATTTATCATGTCGTTATCCAAAAGTGGCGTTTTGTGGACCGAAAAACCTGAGTGTACACAAACAATATTGAAACTGTGGTCGAGGCTGAAAGAATTTTTGTCACCTTATAATGGCTCCAGATTTCGACTATTATGAAGCCATATGGATGATTTCCTCTACCGTACTGTATTACGATTTCAGAACTTCTGAAACTCTTTCTAACCATGTAAAAGAAATGAATCCATATTAATTCTTTGGTTTTGTATAGTAAATGTTACTCTATACTAACTGTTTTCTGATAGGCTAATATTTCTCAAGGTCACTTACAATTCATCCAAACGTTGTCCATAAATTATAATCTTGCCGTTATCTATTCGATTCAATATTAATATTGATGTTTCAATGATAAAACTGTTTTCAATTGGTTTACAAGAGACTGATAAGTTCTGGGTTGCGATCTCGTGAGGCAGGATTGTGAATACGCAATACTGATGAGTCCCACAACAAGACGAAACAGCCGTTCAGTGCCTTCAGGTTTTCCATGTTTGTCTAGCTTCAAGTGACTCATGATCTCAACTATTAAAATAACTATAATATCCACAAAACACCTGCGGATAATAATCAACATATGCTCACTAGTGACTGGCTTGAAGAGGTATTTTATGGAGTTCAAGTGAGAAACAGTGACCAGTTGAATTCAACAGGGTCTGTTGTGAGATAATAACTCACTGAAGGCATTGGTGGATGTGTCGCTCAATTTCGTAAATTCGTTGAATTTAGATATTAAGCGCTCGCGCGTGTGAATGATCAGTTTTGGGTTGGAATCTCGTGAAGTGGGATCGTGGATGTGCACTATTGATGAGTCCCAAAATAAGACGAAACGGTCGTCCAGTGCTTCCAGGTTTTCGAAGGTGGTTTAGCTTCAATCAACTCATGAATTCAACTAATAAATATGAAAATACCAGAAATAAAAAGAAAATTCACAATGGAGAAACATTTATTTTGACGTGTTATATACAGAACATAAAACAGACATAATAATAATAATAATAATAATAATTATTATTATTATTATTAGTAGTAGTAGTAGTATATTTATTCTTATAATAAAGACAGTAAATACGATTACATTGAGTGCATATTCTTTAACCAAAAAACACACACACATACATACACAAACATAAGACAAATGAATGTACAAAATAGGGATTAAAAAAAAAAAGAAAACTGGGAAAAAAAAAGCCAAAAACAAAACAAAATCTAATAATAACAACAACAATGACAATAATAATAAACATTTACTTACTGTTTGCTTGTAACTATGCATATGTTTTTTGTATGTTAATATATTTTTCATAAAACAGAAGGAGAAAAAAAGAGGGAGATAGTATACAATAAAATTTATAATTTCAATAATAACTTCCAATTTAAAAAAAAATTTTTTATTTTTAAAAAAGAGGGGGTTAGGGGATATTTTTTTTCATTTTTTTTTCTTTTTTTTCTCTTTAAAAAAATACATATTTCATTGAATAATTTAAACTTTATTTTTTGATGGATTCATTATTGTTTTCTATTCATAATTGAACATAGAAAATGTGATAAAAAAAAACAAAGAAGTGGAAGGTAGTGTTATAATGCAAGCAACCCAGCAACCAAACAAACACATAAATCCATTCTTATTCAATCCTTCAATAAACTTTAAAAATAAACAATGTTTATGGCGCCTAGTTTTTCTCTTAAGTTTTCTTTTCTTTTGTTCTTTTTTTTTCTTAGAAAAACAAAAGTAAAGAAACAGTCATCAATTTGAAAATGCTTGTTTAAGTTTTTCGTTAACAAAAACAACACCAACAACAATAACAACGACAATAAAATGTCTTTACAATATGAATAGGAATGTACAATAGCCTCATACACTGGAAGTGTATTAAAGAAAGAAAGAAAGGAAGGAAGGAAGGAAGAAAGAGAGAAAGAAAGAAAGAAACAAACAATAATAAATACTCTCCCCATTTCTTATCTGATTATCTCATTGATATTTTAATAGTGTAGGAGGCATTAGATAGATAGATAGATAAATAGATAGATAGATAGATTTCAATCGACAATATGTGCATCTTTAGCTAAAGAATAAAATTTTGAATTTTTATTTTGTAATAACATTTTTGGACTATCTAATTCTTTCATTTGACCGTCTTCAAGGACAAGAATGCTGAAATGGAGGTCGGTTTTCAAAAAGAAAAATAAAGAACAAGAAAAGAAAGATAGAGCTATTACTATAAACAAATACAATTCTAGAAATATTTTATTACTTCTGAATTACAAGTGAAAAACATACGATAAACTATAGAGTTCTATGATAATTTTAATGGTTGAATTCATGATTCAATTAAAACTAGACCATCATGGAAAACGTGGAAACACTGGAAGGTTGTTTCGTCCTACTCAGGGATTCCTCAACAGTGTGTATACACGATCCTACCCGAGGGATTCGAACCTAAAATCTATCGATTCTAGTTGTATGGGTTCCTTCCCTAGGATTAGTCAATTAAGAAAATTTATATGTTTAAACCCTGTTCAACCATTGTTATAGAATTTAGTTTGTTTCATTTCGAAAATTCGAAAAGTTTTTCTACGGTTGATGTCCAAGTCCTACAGGAGGTCAGCTGCGGCCTATCTAGCTCAGTTGTAATGTCTCTCACTGTGAAGCTGAATGAAACACGATCAAATCCTGTAAATTACGAGTAGATAATTATTTGAATAAACCTTATATTCTAACGATAGAATCCGATCAACGTTAATGACTGAATAATACAAAAATGATAATCACAAATATTACATAATGATCGATTTGAGTTGACTGATTGCTTCCTTGTTGATGATCTATTCATAATATTGTTTAATTGGCTTATTTAGATTCTAGGCCCTAAGAAAACACTTTTCATACCTGAAATTCATATGACAGTTTAAAATGGAACGACGGTTTGCTCGTAAAAAAAAATACACCTTTATTAACTAAGAGATCGTAAATTCCAATCATTCTTCATTTAGTTCAGTATGGACAGCCACAAAAATAGTGTGGCTCAAAACCAAACATATAAAAACTGTACTTAGTAGATGAGTTCCAATAATAGTTTAGCCTTAAAACTAAAGAGGGTTAGACGGTTGCTTTGTCTTAGCATGGAACACTTCAACTATGTGAACTCAAGACGATGAATGCATCAATATTACATCAATTACTTGAAATCTAACGGTACATTCTATAACACTAGTCAATTTACAACATTATCAAATACAAACAAAAATACACAATATTATCATCAATACATACCGATCATAATCTAGAACTGTATTTAATCGATGAGCAATAGTAATTACAGTACAAGAAGAAAATTCTCGACGAATAGTTTCTTGAATTAAATTATCTGTTTGCATATCTATGGCAGCTGTAGCTTCATCTAATACAAGAATTGAAGTATGCCGAAGTAAAGCTCTTGCAAGACATACTAATTGTCGTTGACCAAGACTAGAAAATAAATTTTTGTAAAATTATAATAAGTGTAAATTTGTATATTATTAGAATAACAGAGTTGGGGGGGGAGCGGAGTACAATTAGAACGATCTATCCAATCAGTTCAGTGAGTTTTCATAAACCCAGTGATCACAACTAGACAGTTTTACAATGTTATGTTAAAAAAAAACCCTGTATACACATAAGTACATCTTATATAGATGGATTTCAAATGCCTTCATAAGAAAATTCTTTACAGAAGCTTTGAGATTATTGTCTTTTGATAAACTTGTGTTTCTCAATCAATCGTAGGACAAACTTTCCATGTAAAAAGTTCAAAAGTGATTCTCACCCCTACTTAAATTATCAAGAAGTTTTTTCAACTTAAAACAACTATGTATACAAATGTCAGGAAGGCCTACAATCGCTTTGATAATTTGGTTATCAACACAATATCCAGCAACAAACTCGAAGTTATGCAAGTGTTATATCATAGAAAGGAATGATCTGAAATCGTAACAGTAAGCTTCTATATGGAATATACTCCCATTTTAAGATAAAGGAGACTATAATTTCAATTGATTGATCACTGGGTGGTGACCAATGTCATGCGTGTCTAGTCCTTATTATTTGTGCAGATCGAATGCTATCGATCATGTTGCAATATGGTCACCAGTCTAGGTGACTCGACACTGCGGACAATAATGTGAGATTAGATGGTGGTTGGAGGCAGTCGACAGGAAACCCTGAACCCGGGTTTCGTGCTACTTGGCACTCGTCAGCAGGGTGTACCTGTGATCTTTGAGGGAACTGATGCTCCCTGGCAGATTCGATCCCGTGTCACCCAGCTTCACAGTCAGAGACGTTACCTCTGAGCTATCCGGGCCGCGACCGACCTCCTGTAGGACTGAGATTATAATTTATCAATCAATGTAACAAAATGGTAATATGTTTTCATTACAATTCAATCATCTATATAACTTATTTGCCTAATTTATCAGAATTGGAACAAAGATCTCACGAAGTAATTCTAGATATCATGAGCCAACCTTAGTTAAACCACCACTGAAAACCAGGAGGTATTGGACACTCGTTTCGTCTCAGTACGGGACTCTTCAGCAGTATCCGTTGAGAATCGAACCAAAAGTTCTGAAGTCTTGTACATAGTCTCCAGTTGTCAGACTATTAAGTCAGCAACCAATGCTTTATGCCTCATTTCAACCGATTCGCGATACTGCTCAACTATCTCCCAATACTATTAGTGACTGCTCCTCACTAGGACTCCAGGAATTACCTCTCCAAATTAATCACTAATGAGAACATAACTAGTATTAGTAGGACATGATTGTAAAGATAGTTACAATTTTAGTTTATATTATGAACTAACTTCGGTTACACAAACAGCGAAATCTAGAAAGCTCCAAGTACCTATATAATACGAGACTCCTCAACAGTTCCCATATAGGACTCCATTGAGGACTAAGCTCATGTATGAAGGTACCAGTTGTTGCTACATTAAAGTCATTTCATGATATAAATCATGAAATTGAACAACTTCCACAAATCCCTTACACTGTTTTAAACAGCCTTTATAATATGAATTTAATTGATTGAATAAATATTTAACAAAAAGAACCGAACGCACTAACTAACCTTATATTAGAACCACCTTCTGAGATGTTCATATCCAAACCAAAATTGGCATCATTATTATTATTAGCATCTTTTATAAATGATTTTAAATTAGCTAATTCAAGTGCATGCCAAATAGCTTCATCTGTATAATAATTGAATGGATCCAAATTAAAACGTAATGTGCCAGAGAAAAGGACAGGATCCTAGTAAACAATTAACACAAAATGAATGAAAGTCATATAAAGTAAACAAAAAGCCTTACGATCATCATTAAAAAGTATTAGCATCAAATAATAAACAGTCGTTTAGAGTAGTTAACATAAGCAATTTCGGATTTGTCCTAATGCTGTTGGAAGTATAAAAGCAGCCGATATTCCCCAGTTACTTATACTGTGAAAGGATACTTCTTCTTGATGCACCTGAAAAGAAAACTGGATTCGGGTTGGTTTAGACGACACGGTAGTGTGATCACGGCACCCAACTAGCAACTACTTGACGCCTATCACACTTTTTAATCGCAGACAGTGATTTGAAATCACTCTAAGAGTGTTTGGTTAATGAGCACTATACAAGCACAAGAAAGAACTGCATTATTCTCAGACAATTGAATTTCAGGTCAGTGGTTTAAAGATGAGTTGAAAGCTTCGGTTTTCACCCAACTTTGAAAAAGGGTTGAATACATTACAGACTGAGTAATTAAAGAGGCTGATGAGAAGTGGGCAGGGAAAAAACATCATAATCATTACATCCAAACAATTTAAATGATCATGAAAAGATGAACTAATATCGTGAATTGTATTCATTTATTTATTTAAACACATAAATATTGGTACAAGAAGGTACCGAATACATATGCGCCACACAAGCCACTTGATTTGTGTATGTGAGTTATGATACTACCCGGGTGCCCAAATCGAAGCAGGTGGTTTTCTTAGGGGATCACACCCTGAGACTTCGACCAAAATGTCTAATCCACAAGACATTGGAGCAACGTAAGGAGATGCAGTCCCATGGTAGCCGGTCACTAACCATAGGTTCATACACCTGTTGTTTCTTTAGGATCCTGGAGCCCATGTACACCATTGATTTGGAATCAGAGTTTTTCAACTCCCCTAGGTGGACCCTCTATGTCCGCCAACCCGGTTAGAGCGCCGATCATTCGCTTTCCGTCCTATCAATTTAGTAAACAACAACGCTGCTACGAGAATGCAGTGAGTAGGACTTCACTGGCAGTGACTACTAACAAGTGACCATGTTGTGATGTGGGTTACTTATATCTACACAAGTAGTATGTAACGGTAGTCAGGCATAGAATGTGTTTCGTTAGAAGGTCGATGAGGAAAGAACTGGAACGGAATGCAATTAATATGAAAACGCATGAACAATAAAATCTGAGACAACAGATTGATGTTTGCAACAGGAACAGTCAGATTTAATACGATGGATTGATATTTTGCAAATTAACGATTTACTATATGGTTCACAAATTTTGTTGAGATGCTCTGTAATTATGTGCCAAAATACATTTGATTGTCCCTACCTGTGTTCTTGTTCACTACAATGTGTGAGCATTTCGAGAGGGATAGTTAACTCTCCCCACTCTCGGTGATACCAAGGCATTTAGGGGCATTAACACCATTGTGTGCTTGTTCAGCGGTTTAGAGGTTAATTGCACGCGCGCGATACCGAATACCCTAGGTTCAAGTCCCGAGTACAGGATCATCAATGCGTATCGCTACATTAGGACGAAACAGTTATCCATTGTTTCTAGAATTTTCCATAGTGGTTTAACTTTAATTGATTCACTTTTTCTATTTACAATAAATACGACCTAATTCAAAACATAGTCGATAATAATAAATCTCAACACTATGAAACAAGAAAAAAAAGGACACTCTTTTAAAGTTTCATTAATTATTGACTAAAACTAAATAAAACATCTGGAATATATTTTAATGATGAGATAAATAAAAAGAAAACCTAGTTTTAAAAACAACAATTAGGTTGTTTTGACATATTTGGGGGGGGGGAAGGGGGGTAAATAGAAACAAATTGTTTGTTTGTTTGTTTCTGTTTGTTTCTATTTGTTGTTTTCTCTCTATTAACTTGAAAACTAATCAGCAATAGAAAAGAAGGAATTTTTGTAAATAATAACACAACATTTCATAAACATATTGTTAGACAACTATTGAAATAGAAGTAAATTTGTTAAAATAAATAATAGTTGACATTGTATATTGAATGTATAAATAAATAAAACACAATAATGAATGCAAAGATTCATGGTTAGTTCAGTAATTTTAATATATATATAAGTAATGTGGTTATGAAGATATAAAGGTGGGGATTAGGAAAGCAAAGGCCACATTCCTAAAATTGAAGTATATATGGTACTCAAAACAACTGTCATTCAACCAATAACAAAGTTAGAATCTTCAAAACGAACGTCAAGATAACTCTTCTGTACAGAGCTGAAACTTGGAGAACTACTACAGTCATCATTAAGAAGGTACAAGTATTTATAAATAGTTATCTACACAAGATATACAACATCCATTGGCCGGATACCATCAGCAATAATCTACTGTGGAAGAGGACGAACCAGTTTCCAGTGGAAGAGGAAATTAGGAAAAGACGATGGAAATAGATAGAATATACATTACGCAAATTATCAAACTGCATCACGAGGCAAGCCCTAACTTGAAATGCTGAAGTGAAGCGGGAAAGAAGAAGGCTAAAAAAACACGTTACGTTGTAAAATAGAAGCAGATATGAAAAGGATGAATAACAACTGAAAAGAGCTGGAAAGGATTGTTTGGAACAGGGTTGGATAGAAAGTGCTGGTGAGCAGCCTATGCTCCTCCACGAGGTGTAACAGGCGTAAGTAAGTAATATGGCTAATAATCGAATCTAAGATATACATTTCATTTTATTTAGAACTTGTCAACAGCTAAGTGGAACAACTATGTTAAAGTATGAAGTTATAGGCTCTGGGTTCCAGTAACAATGTGAAAATTAACATAAAGATGCTTGTCCTGGATTCAACTATTAATCACTATCTAAATATATTAACAATTTTTGGGAATATAATAACAACAGAGATGAATCAAATGTCATTTTAAACGTGAACAATAGAAAATAACAGATCGTTAGTAAGACAGTACCCCAATTAAAATCATTAATGACTTTTATTAATTATTTTTATAAATAAGATGGAGTAATCATATCATAGGTACAATAATATGTAGGGCCAGTGAAGTGTCACTGAACCCTGGCCAAATCATCCGACAGTTGAATCACTGAATGTCAAACAGATTATCGATCCACGTCAAGGTCAAGGACAACCAACACACATCAGTTAATCGTACGCCATGGACTGACCCATGCGGTGGTGATCTTACATTCGCCTGTATCTATTTTAACTAATATATTTCTGTAATAACGTTATTTGTGTTGCACGGTCTTCAAACACATCCATAGTATTTTGATACGTCGAAGGGGTAATCCATGTTAGATGCTGATCACGAGATGTGACTTCAAAATTGGCTGTTGATCACATCATTTCCGTCTAACTCAAGTAGGCTTCCAATCATTTACGTTTATATTCTTTTTATTTATAACAATCTATCCAATCCTCAATTTATTTGAACTTATCAAGTCAAATCTTAGTAATGATACCTATATTGTCTCTTATATTTAACTAAAACAAATTAAGAGAATTTATTCTAGTCCATATCAAAAGAAGAAAATAAAAGAACCCACCAAAGTTGAAGGAATAAACAACAGTCAGTTGATTATCTCGTTTTTTTTTTTCTTTTTTTTAAAACATGAATGCAGCTCAGTAACGTAACATACAGCAACAAAAGCATGTTTTAAGAAGTTTGACATTGTTAGTGGGACATTAAATTGACTTAAAGCACGTTCCATGTATAATTGTGTTGATGCACTCTGATTGGTTATTTCTTATCCAATCAGCGTTAACGAATGCTTGGAGATGATTCTAGTTTTTCTTATTGTGTTTCTTACTTCCATCTAACCTTGTTATTTGGAATGTAATTTCGTTCTTTTTTAATCATATTCTTATTCTGGAACTTGTCGAGTGAATTGGTGTTCAAGAATACTAAGCAATAGGAAGAGCCAAGATGTGATAAGAGAAATTATAACAGACAGTGATAAACAGAAACAGAGAGGGAAAACGCATATATTTGTAGTTTAATATCTTATGTATTACATTTTTTTTTAACATTGCAATAGGTAGTTAGACATGATCAAAAACATCTTGTATAAACACTAATTATTCAACTAACTGATAGATAATGATACTCAATACTTACTTGAGGTATTAATGTTAAACGATTTCTTAAATCATGTAAGCCAATTTTTGATATATCAAAACCATCAATGAGTATTTGACCTTCAGCTGCTTCAAGCATACGGAATAATCCAAGTACTAGAGAAGATTTACCCGAACCAGTACGACCAACAATACCCAACTAAATATTAACAAAAATTCAAGAATTAGAAGGATATTTGTGAAGATTATAGTAATTTCAACAGATGAGATCATAAGTCAATTGAAGGTAGATCACCATGGAAAACCTGGAAGTACTGAACGGCCGTTTCGTCCTGTTGTGGGACTGTTTAGTAAAAGTGAGCATCCACGATCCCGCTTCACAAGATCCCGACCCAGGACTTATCAGTATAGCGGACAAGCTCTTAAGCAATAGACCAAAAAAACCAGCATCCAACTGGGTTAATATCAAACTTTAACTAATCCACGAAATTTCTATATATGGCAAAAAGTAACAACATGAGCTATAAATAAAAGTTCACTTATTCAGCGGTCAGAGAATGATGATGTAAAGTAATATATCTCATTTATCATGTACATATTTGTTTTGAGGAATACATTTGTATATTTATCACTGATACTATTCGACTATTTAAATCGATAATGAACTCGGGTTCGAACCACAATGTATTGATTGATCGACTGATTTGAAGTAGGTGCCAATAACGCTATCCAAAATCACAATAAGATCAATAAATTTAAATGATCCAGCTCAAAAGCATGTGATATATAGGTACATTTATCATTTAAAAGTATATACAATCATAGAAAATGTATAATGGAAAACAAAACTTACTTTTTCACCCTTGTCTACTTTAAAATTAATTGCTTTTAAAGCTAAATTTAATTCAGGTCGATATTTTGTACCATAATTAATGAATTCAATTTTACCTTCAGGCCAATTACTTGGTAAATAACTACAATCTAATTCCCATGGTGCCTAATTTTAAATAAAAGAGATACATACATACATACATATATACATATGACTCATTAAATGATTTAAAAATCAATGAATAGAAAAATATCAGAAGAGGTTTTGTGGATATTATAGTGATTTCAATGGTTGGAAGCACTGGATAGCCGTTTCGTCCTATTGTGGGACTCTTCAGAAGTGCTCATCCAGATTCCCCCCCCGCGAGATCTCAACCACTGAAATTACTGTACTATTCAGAAAACCCCTTCTGACATTAATCAAGTTTACTGAAAACTAGTATGGATAAGTTGACATTAATGTTGATTTATTGTACTAAGATCCATTCATCAGTACAACAACATTATTTCTATGGGAAAGGTCAACTTAATCAACACTGATAAATTATAATCAAGCCATAGTGATTAAGCTTTATAACCATTTGAGAATAATAATGATAATGTGATTATCGCTCATATATAAGTGATACTATTTCTAGTTTATCAAGTGTTTATATCATCCAATGAACACTAATCTGTCTAACAATAGTAAATACAAAAATTTAATAAGAATGTCTTACATTCACTTGATATTGTTTTACTTGAATCTTCCCATTGATGTTTAAGACTGCGATTGATTAGTCTCTTATCATTGGCATATGTGCATACTGTGTGTATGCCTCGCTCGATATTGCTTTAATTCACAAGCAATATATGCAAAGATGTATAGTGACTAGCAGTGGAATCCAGGTTGACGCGTATTTCATCCTATTTAGAACTGGTTAGCTGAATGTACTTACACATCATAGTGTTCACTCTAGGACTCGAACTCAGTACCGTTCGTATCAAATGCCATTGCACTATCTACTTAGCTACTAAGTCTTGATAACCACTTACTTATACAATGGAGTGAAGTTTTAAATTCACTTGGTATTGTTTGTTTGAATCTTCCTATTGATGTTTAGGAATGCAATTGATTAATCTTTACATTGTTCAGATAGACAAATATATAGGCTTTTATTTATTATATCGAACATTAAACATTAATATAACTAAATATCAATTTAATATAGTTGACCTTATTTATATTAAATAGTATAATTAACATAAAAATTTATTATGTCAGATGTAGGTCTTTAATAACTAATATTTCAATTACTTGTCAAAAATGATTATTATTATTATTATTGTAACGTTTAACTATTTCAGATTTGATATTGAAAAGTATCCAAATATTAGGAATATGTATATACATCCACCATTGTCATCAGAGAGTTACTATCTCACAACTGACCCGGTTGAACTCCAATGGTCATTACTTCTCACTAGAACTCCAGGATATACCTCTTGAAGCCAGTCACTAGTGAGCATATGTTGATTAGTATCAGAAGGGGTTTTGTGAAGATTGTAGTAGTTTCAATAGTTAAGATCATGAGTCAATTGAAACTAGACCATCATGGAAAACTTGGAAGCAATGGACGATCGTTTCGTCCTACTGTGGAACTTCTCAGTGGCAGTGTGCATATACGATCCCGCCTCTCTGTCCAATGCTTCTAGGTTTTCTATGGTGGTCTAGCTTCAATTGGCTCATGATCTTAATTATTAAAATTAGTGTCAGAAGGGGTTTTGTGAAGATTGTAGTAATTTTAATAGTTGAGACCCTGCGAGGCGGGGCCGTGGATGCACACTGCTACTGAGGAGTCCCACACTAGGACAAAACGGCAGTCTAGTGCTTCCAGATTTGTCATGGTGGTCTATCTTTAATTGACTCATGATTTCAATAACGGAATTAACTTAGATGATATCCAAGTTACTAATTATATAATAAACATTCAATTATCTTTTAAGTTCAGTAATCACTATGAGTTATCAGTTTTTTCTCTTGTCATTATAACTAATAACTTCAATTTTATTTCTAGTTTTTATCCTAATTTACATAGACATATAAGAGAATAGAATAGGGCAGTCATATAGACAGAAGTGAATAGGTTTTTTTTATTAAAATTCAAATGAAACAATCCGATTGAATTATTTATTCAAATGTAAAAATGTAAATTCTCACATCTAATCAAACCAGTTAATGCTATTTGAATTTGTACTAATTATCAGATTACAAAAGATGTACAATTTACAGTACAATTATCAAATTACTACAAATGCCAAAATGTTTGTTCTTGATGAAGTTTTGTTCTATGAGCTGGATGGTTTTTGGTTGTGGAGCTTTCATCGTTCTTCTGAACGAAATCATCAGTACAAATTTCAGATAGAAGTGAAGTGTTTGAATTTATTCATATGTGCCCCCAAATGCCCTGGTATGGCCGAGAGCGGGGAGGTTTCGCCCTCCCTCTCGAAATGCTCTCACACGGCCACGCGTATACAGCCTCTGCCAGGGAAGTCCTACTCACTGCATTCTCGCACTACGAGTGTTGTTTACGAAAATGAGAGGACGAAAAGCGAACGTCCGGCGCTATAACCGGATCCCAATTCTATGGTGCACATGGGTTCCAGTATCCTGCGGGAACAAATGGCGTATGAACCAACTTTTGGTCACCGGCTTCCATAAGACTGCATCTCCTCACGATGCTCCACTGCCTTGTGGACTAGACCTTTAGGTCAAAGGCTCGAGGTGTGGCCCCCTAAGAAAACCACCTGCTTCGGTCTGGGCACCCGGGCAGTATCTCAGCCCACACACTAAAACTATGATGAACTATCTGCTTATAGAAAATATTCGTTTCTCTCCGACTAACATTGAAATGACTGGTATTATTATTATTATTTACTACGTCATTTATTCACTATCTCCTATTTCTACTTTTTGTATCCGTTTCGACTCAGACAGCAGCTCGCCTATGGTGAAAATTCAGCTTTATCTAAACGTTCTCGAGTCACTGCCTGGTTGAAAATTGTATGTTACTACAGAACATGAGTACTGAAGCAGCCATCTTTGGCGCCTTCGTGATGTTAGTCTGGCTGTAAAAGGTCGGATCTACAACGCGACGGTGAGAGCAGTTTTGCTCTATGCTTGTGAAACCTGGCCTCTCCAAGTTGAGGATGTTAGACGACTCTCTGTGTTCGATCATCGTTGTCTCCGAAGGATTGCTGGCATCCAGTGGCAACACCATGTCAGTAATGCAGAGGTTCGGCATCGAGTGTTCGGTCACAGAGACGATAATGAAATTGGTGTCACCATCTTGAAACACCGGCTTCGGTGGCTTGGACATGTTCTACGAATGTCGTCCCAGAGAATTCCACGTCGTGCATTATTTGCCGACTCTGGGACTGGTTGGAAAAAGCGGAGAGGTGGTCAGTATATGACATGGTGTCGTGGTATGAAAGAAAGCTGCAAATGGCTAGCTTCTGTTGGTCCTTCACGACTCCCTGGTTGGGGTCCGAGAAACGGTGTAACGCAGTGGCTAGAGACGTTATTAGATATGGCTCAGAATAGAAGCCAGTATCGATCGTGCTGTAACCTCTTACTTTCTTCATAAAAAGTGGTTGTATCTTCCTTAACTGAAAGATCTCTTCTGATTGTACCTTTCCGTTTCCCCCACCATTGTTCTCTCTCTCCCTTTTTTTATAATTCCCCACGTTCATTACTTTTTTTTTCTCTTTTCTCCTTCTCTTCAAATTATCATTGTTTTGTGTGGCGCATATATATTTGGTGCCCCCCTTGTACCAATATTTATGTGTTCAAATAAATAATAAATAAATAAATAAAATCTTCATATGTGCTGCACAGTTTGTCTTGTAGACCTCGATGTTGATTGGTTCTTGTTGAACTTAAACCTGTCAATATCAGATCTTCTTCACCATCTTGAAAAATGTTTACTAATTGACACTTGAGGAAACACTGTCGAAAACAAGTTAACTAATCACTTTTTCTTAATTACACCTTAAAATTTCTCATCAATGGGTAGTGAGGGAATCACAACCGCTGTGCAATTATTGTCAACCTTTACTATTGGATATATTTTAGTTGTATTCTTGAAAGTCATGCAAAAAGCTATGTATCACCCATGACCAGAATGAAATAATAACTTACTAATGAAAACTGGATGATTGTAAGGTTAAAACATGACTAGATTGAGGTTACTATCCGATCAAATAGATAGCATCTATTAATTGTTCAGGGTGATAAGTTCATTTATTAACCAATACACCTTGACAATTCTGTGTCTAAATAACTTAATACAGTAGTCTTTAACTCTCTTAGGTTCTTGATTCGATGTGATAAAGACTGTGTGGATACAACTTGGTGGTGGTCAATATAATGTGTGTCAGATCTTTCTCAGTGCAGATAGAATCCTATCGACCAAGCTGCAGTATGACCATTAATCTAGGTGACTCGACATTACGTGAACTATGTTGAGATAAGATGGTGGTTGGAGGTAGTTAACAGGAAACTCTGGACCCGGGCTTCGTTCTACTTGTTGCTTATCAACAAGGTGTGCATATAATATGGAGGGAACTGATACTGCATGGCTGATTTCATCCCGTATCCTCCAGCTTCACAGTCACAGAGGTTACCAATGAGCTATCCGTCTCGCGACTAACCTCTTGCAGGACTGAGATTGATCATTAGGTGGTGATCAATCAATGTCATGTATATCAGTTCCTTCTTAATGTAAATCGAATCCTATCGACCAAGTTGCAATATGACCAACAGCCTAAATGGTTAAACATTGTATGGATATTAAAACGTAGAATCGGTATTAATATACTTTGAATACAAGAAATTCGACATCTAAGAATGAAGTACCGTAAAGCTCTAACGATAACTAACTTCAATGATACAAATCTCGAAAAGATTAAACAAAAGAAAAACTAGTTCTATACAGAGATTGATATATGGTAACATAAGTAGTAATCTATGGATCTATAGAATTAGTTTAGTCTGTAAAAGTTACTTATCCTATGAAGGTTGAAATAAGTTCAAGGTTACCTTAGTGACAATATTAACTTCTGATTGGTCAACAATTATATTACCGATGAAATAGATGAGGATTTATGTTTTTTTATATTGTTTAGGTATTTTCTTAATTAGTAAATGTTTCTCTGTTATTATGCTAACAAAAAAAATGGTTATGTTCATTTGTTAACCTAACCCAGTCTCTCTTTTTTTTAATAACATAGAACACAATTCAAATGACTTTGAACCATATTGTATGAGAACAGTATGATCTACCAGATAATTCAAATTAATTGAGATAGAAAGAGAAACCTCATCCATTCTTTATGTTATCGAATACACCAGATATACAGTACAGAATGCATTAATGAAGAACTCGCATTCCTCAAGAAAACCTTAAAGGAAAATGGTTACCCAGAACGGTTCATAGAAAAGAATATGAATAGAAGTAGTTACGACAAGAAATCTAGTTGTTCCTTTATATAAGTCTGGAATTTAAAGGTGATCGAACATCAGACGTGATCAAAAAATCGTCTAACAACAAAGATTAGAAGAACATTTAATGCGGCTCAACTGCGAATAACCTTCACTAGTAGGAACTTATTTTCTGTATCCATAAAAGATAAGCTTCCGCATTTGGTCGCCTCTATGTGCATCTACCAGTTCACCTGCTCTTGTAGAGCAAGGTACATTGGCCGTAGCCAGCGCTTGCTTTTAACTCGGATACGGGAACATATTCCAGCTTGGTTCTATAAGGGTGAAAGGAAAGCAGTTAGCAGTTCTATACTTTAACACCTTATCGACTGTAACCATTCTACAGATCCACAAATTGATTTTAAGGTTGTTTATATGATTCGTCCAAATCTACCTAGATTTCTTCGTATCCAATTCTTAAATATATATATATATATATATATATATATATATATATATATATACGATTGTACAGCTTGATAATAAATTCGTTGAAAAGAGATCCCTTCACTCAACTTCGTGTTTTAATTTTAATGTTAAAATGGGAATTATCTGTCAATTGAGATAGAACTGTCTATAGGTCGAACTTTAGTTATTATTTTGTGTTTTAAAAGACCAGAATTGACAAAATACTATTTTCACGACAAATTCGTATTCAAGAGTAGTGTAGTTTGTTTCAGATATGACTTTGGATGCCTATCCACAACCATATGAATAATGACCTCAAATAATTCACCAAACACTCTGCTAACTACATTCAGCACTCTCTGTAATACAATAAAGTCTTTCCTCAAAATCCCAGGAGAACAGTAAAGAATACTAGGTAATATGCAGGAATTGACAAATGTTAAGAGTAAATGTTGAGTACTACTAAAAGGATGTAGCCTCTCTTTATGTAGTAAGTCAGACGGAAAACTTTTTTTTTTCAATAACAGTAAAATATTTTTATTTTGTTATATTACTATTGTAAAGATCGCGATTTGTTATACTTTATTCTAAATCATTTCTGACCTTTCTAATTTAAAAATAACACCATTTCGAAGTATCTACGTCGTAACAGATGTAAATGCTCACTATTTTTAATAGATAACATTGACGAATTGATGAATACATGACTCATTTCGGACTTTGTAAAATATCATAATAATGATGGACTTATGGACTGTGCATCCTGATGATAATGATGAGTAAGTAAGTAATTGAGTGAGTGAGTAAGTAAGTAAGTAAGTGAGTGGGTAAGTAAGTAAGTAGGTAAGTAAGTAAGTAAGTAAGTGAGTGAGTGAGTGAGTAGGTAAGTAAGTAAGTAAGTGAGTGAGTAAGTAAGTAAGTAAGTAAGTAAGTAAGTGTTCCCTCAAATATTCATTATTATTACTTTTTCATAGGATAAAAGTTGGTTAGAATAGATAGAATAAACTAATGAAACGATTTATCATGAAAATGGTAATATATTTAAATTTATTACTTACCTCTTGTTCAATTGAAGAATATTCATGTATTCGTTCTATACTAACAATATTTGTTTCTAATTCTGAGAACATACGTACAAGCCAATTTAATGTTTGATTTAAATTTAATGCATAAGTAATAACAAGACCAGAGAAACCAGCTGATAAATAACCTTGAGCAACAACTGACAGGATAGCAACAGCTAAAATAACTGAATTACCAACAAGTTCTAATAAAACTGCAAGCCACCTACATGTTGATTGTTTGTTTTTTTTAAAAAAAAAGAAACATTTGAAGAATATGCAAACTGAATTACTGTATACACAAAATTACACATACATACATACATGCAAACAAAGCAATTATGATTAATTCTAAGTATTTCAAAACATTGAGTATCTATATTGACTTGGTGTTGTTGGTATATGCGCATCCTGGGCAGATTGCCTCGATATTGTCTGAAGTCACAAGCAGTATAAGCAAAGATGAATAGTAACTGGCAGTGATTGATCAATTGCAGTCCTAAATAACAATCGGAAGATACAAGTAAACAATGGCAAGTGAATAAAACCACAGAATTACACAAGGAGGTGACTAACAGGACTCAGTAGCTAAGTGGATAACGCGATGACGTTTGAAGCGAACGGTACTGAGGTCAAGTCCCTCCCGGAGCAAACATCATTTCTGAAATGCATGTACATCCATTTGACCACTCCCAAGTAGGATGAAACAAGCATCCTGGATTCCATTGCTAGCTACTATCAATCTCTGCTTGTAATGTATCTTTAGTTTTTGTAAGTTAATTTTTATTATCAGAAGTGGTTTTTTCGGATATTATAGTAATTTCAGTAGTTAAGATCATGAGTCAATTGAAGCTAGACTACCATGGGAAGCCTGAAATTACTGAAAGAGCGTTTCGTCACAGTATGGGATTCCTCAGCAGTGCGCATTCACGATCACGCCTCGCGAGATTAGAACCCAGAAACTAGAATATCCACGAAAAACCCCTTCTGACACTAATCAGCTCACTAGTGACTGGCCTCAAGGGGTATATCCTGGAGTTCTAGTGAGAAACAGTGACCAGTGGAGTTCAACCAGGTCTGTTGTGAGATATCGGTTCACTGATGACAATGATGAATGTAACGCTCAATTTCGTGGATTAGTTGAAGTTAAACATTAACATCGTAGGATATCGGCCGGCTCAATGGTCTAGAGGTTAAGCGCTCATCCGCTAGACCGATAGGTTCTGGGTTCGAATCTCGCGTGGCAGGATTGAGGATGTGCACTACTGAGGAATCCCACAATAGGACGAAACGACCATCTAGTGTTTCCAGGTTTCTCATGGTGTTCTACTTTGAATCGACTCATGAATTCAACCATTAAAATTACTATAATATCCACAAAATCCCCTTCTGATATATCAATCAGTTTAAATCGGTACTACATTAACTGTAATACAATAACTGTTATAATAAAATACTTTAATAACAAAGTTTATGATTATAAATATGTGTCAAATTGATAAAATGATGTATACAATGTTGATTGATAGATAATGTACAATGATACTGTATAACTAACTAATCATTAATAAACATAATAAATTATTAAACTATCCTCTATGAATTAAGTGTTTAAATGGTCAGTAGAATAATTGTTTACTTTTTATAAAATGACATAAATGAGAAAAATTATCAGTATAGGATTATGGAGATTATTGAGTTTAGATTGATATGATGAATGAATCAATGTTAGACTACCGGTAAAAACGTGAAAATACTAGATATCCGTTTTGTGGCACTACCAAGGGGGTTTCTATTATTGTATAAATAAACTTGATTTGTGTGCTTAGTGACCTCTAATATTTTCTGGATACTTGTAGAGTACATTCTCTACGCTTCATCAAGACTTCTTAATTTAGTTAGTAGGGCTGGAAACAACGGATTAAAATAGCCTATCGTATTGTGGTGAACAGAATACCAATGGGGACAATCGAATATATTTAACAACAAATTACAGAACTAGTTAGTAAAATCCAACAACCATATATGAAATGTTCAATTTGCAAAATGTTTATCAATTGTCTCAAATGACTCAGAATTCCTTTGTTCTTGTATTTTCCTACAAATTGCATGCTGTCTTCATTCTTTATTGTTCGATCTTCTCGTCTCTCTGCTGCCAAACATTCTGTTCATGACTCACGTCATATACTACTTATGTCTACATAAGTAGCACATACCACAGTATCACTGTGTCGTTGACCTTCGTTCCGAGTAAGGTGAACTCGTAATAGCATTCAAACATATTATAAACATATGTAATTGAAATGTGCACATTTAAACCCATCATGAGAAATATGCATAATTGATTAAACGTCTGAATCATAATAAAGTAGTTGATGTAAAGATAATTGACAATAATTATTTGACACAACCTATCTAACTATAACAAAACTGATTTCAAACAATTCTACGATTCGTAAAATTTGAATTGATCTCAATATACCTGATTTGATCAGATCTGATAGTGTAAGACATTTTTGTAAAGCAAAAATTGATTTAATTACATGAGTATTGAACCGTATTTCTTATATTTATTAATAATAATATCGTTTTCGGCAATATTTTTCACTCTACGCTGCTTACTAATCCCCTCAACTTAGTCATAGTCACACCATTCGTTACAAAAGAACTTATATACTAGCTAACGTAAATATTTGGTTTTGTGACGACGGACCACGAATGAACTCGTGGAAGTTGTAAGAGGCTCAGAAATGGCCGAAGATATTCCATCCAATCACCTTTAGGAAGAATACTCTAGAATTCCTACGTGTAGCTTCCCGATTGGAAAATGCTAATAACACTCTGTATGCGAATTGGAAGACTGTAATGATGATTTCGTTCTTACTAAAAACTATAAATCGACACTGTTGGAATAATATTCCTTTCAGTTGTCTTCTGTCTTCTCATTGCTATTTGGAAAAGTTTTGGCGTTCAAGTGCTCAGTTATACGCGGTATATCAAGAAAACAACCTTCTAGATATAACAGATTTAAAGTAATTTTATTAAAACAACTCGACGATAATGTAGAGCTTGCTGGCGAACAGAAATCAATCAACTGAGAAAGGATTTCTATCTGTTCTAAAGTACAATCATAATTTCATAAAAATAAATATATATTTTTTGTTATATCCCGGATAAGTAAAAAAAATTGTACTTTTGATGTTTCGTGACATAATTTAGGTCACTTCTTCAGAATAAATAAACAATCAGTTTTTCGGTCATTTATTTACTCTGAAGAAGTAGTCTACATTAAAGTCACGAAATGTCAAGAGTACAATTTTTCTACTTATCGATTTATATAACAAAAATTATATTTAACATTAACTCTTTACTCAATCTTAAATTAATTTAAAACCTATCAAGTTCAACCTTGGTATTGATACATTATGTAATAAGTTTAATATCACTCAGCCAGTTGATTATAAGAACTTAATACAAATGAGTATCTCATAGATTTATTAGATAATAGATCGATATTATGATGGATTAATTTGACTAGCCTATGTTTACTTATTATTTATTTATTTATTTGAACACATGAAAACTGGTACAAGGAGGCACCAAATACATATGCGCCACACAAATCTCATTTGATATGTGTGAGGGCTGTGATACTATCCGGGTGCCCAAACAGTAGAAAGTGGTTTTCTTGGGAGACCACACCCCGAGCCTTCGACCTGAACATCTGATCCACAAGGCAGTGGAGCATCGTAAGGAGATGCAGTCCCATGGGAGCCGGTGACCAATGATTGGTTCATACGCCATCTGTTCCTTCAGAATACTGGAGCCAGCCCATGTGCACCATTGATTTGGGATCCGGTTAAAGCGCTGGAGATTCGCTTTTCGTCCTCTCATTTTCGTAAACAACACTCGTAGTGCGAGAATGCAGTGAGTAGGACTTCCTTGGCAGAGGCTATACACGCGTGGCCATGTGAGAGCATTTGGAGAGGGAGAGTAAACTCTCTTCACTCTTGGCCGTACCAGGGCATTCGGGGACAGCCTAGGTAGATACCTTTAAGTAGTATTTGACTTTGTTCAATATGAAGATTTCACTTTCAACAATGCTCTCTCTTAGGGTTCACTTCAACACATGCGTAAAATATTGAAATTTCTATACAGATTTCAAATATGTCTCTTTAATCGATTTTGATGTAAGACAAGTCTTCACAAAATCATAACCTGAGGGTCTTTGAAAAAAGTAAAGGGTGACTATCAAAAAATTAGCATGTTAAATCAAAGCTTGTAAAAGGTAGTCAATAATTTCCCAAAGAATATGATGATTACTTGCTCAAGATATATATAAGACAAGCAACTTATATGTTGTGAAAGTGAATATTTCATTCTTATAGGTTGATTTGAAAAGGAGAGTTTATAAGCAGTTACCCAGTTTATCTGTCGAAATTCCTAACTACTAGTTAAAGAACTCTTTTAATTTTATAGTCTATAGAAAGATCGAAATGAACACAAGTCATCATTTGTGGCATTCGTAACAACAACATCTGTTCGTTACCGACTTCGCAACTACTAAATATAAGTAAACAAAAAACGTTTTCAAACTGTGTTCAATATGTAGGTATCATTACCATGATTTGACTTGATAATTTCGAATAAACTGAGCATTGGGTTGTTTGTTATAAATAAATAATATATTTGTAATATCCCAATGAGTAGAAAAATTAGATTTTCTGACGTTTCGTGACTTAATGTAAGTCACTTCTTCATAGAATAAATAACCAAATTGAAACTAATCCAAGTTTAAATAGTACAACGGAACAATAAGAATAATATGTGATCAATCTAGGATTGATCATAGATATTGAGGATCCCCATACAAGAGTTGGAGACCGCTGGTTCCGAACCAACGGTGCACATGGGCTCTATGATCCTAAGGGAACAAATGTAGTATGAATCCTTTTTTAGTCACCGACTACCATGGGACTGCCTCTCCTGACATTGCTCCATTGCCTTGTGGACCAGACCTTTAGGTCGAAGGCTCAGGTTGTGGTCCCATAAGAAAACCATCTGCTTCGATCTGAGCACCACACATAAATCAAACGACTTATGTGGTGCTTAAGTATTAGGTTCTTCTGTGTACCAATATTTATGTGATTAAATAAATAAATATAAAATAACCGGCGAAATGCAATGCAGACAATGTCCTTTACAAGATTAATTTAAACCTTAATATGAAAATGAAACAGAGATTCCCAGTGAAACATAAATCATGTCATACCAACAGATTGGTTAGAACTGTAATTCATATTGTAGTCAAGACAATCGAGGATATATTTGAACACTGCTGCCAGACATTTTAATTCTGACTATCGTTACATACTACTCAAATCAATATAAGTAGGACGCACTACAATATTACCCTTTTCTTACTAAAGAATTCACTATTTATCTACGTAAAAAAAATGTTGAGGTGATCCAAAAAACTTCTCACGAAAGCCAAGAAAGTCTCAGGAAACTCTGAGAAGCATTTTATCTAGTCAACGTTCATTAGAAGTTTAGCCAGAAACATCAAGAAAGTGAAAAGTCATATGAAGAGTTTCTGATTAACTTACTATACTGCTATTATGTTTAGTAGCATTCCAGAATTTCCAGGAAATCCAAGAGCAACTAAAATACTTTAAAAATCTTATATTTTCTGTACTAAAACAAATACTTGGAGTAAAGTACTTCCCGCATATTTTATGTCTTTTCTCTCGTGTTCAGATCGCTGTGTATTTCTAGCTTGAGGGTTACGAGAATAGTTTAGGAACCGAATACATTGTTCAATTAGCAAGACTTATCAAATACAATTGATTTTACCAATATATGTAAATAATTTCAATGGTTAAGATTAGGAGTCAGTTGAAGCTAGATCACCATGGAAAACCTGGAAACACTGGATGGTTGTTTCGTCCTTTTGTGGGACTCCTCAGTAGCAGTGCGCAACCACGATCTCGCGCCCTGCGAGATTCGAACCCAGGATCTATCAGTCTCGTGCGCGAGCGCATAAATAAATTGAAAAATATTAAACTGACAGATTATAAATATTGTTAGACGTCATTATTATTATTATTATTATTATTATTATTATTATTATTATTATAAGAAATAGTAATCAACTAACCTTTGTGATATAATTGAAGCATAAACAGCGGAATTATTTAAATCTTGTCTAGTTGCACTAATAGTTTTATAAATTTCAGTTAATTTATATGCTCGGATACTATCAACACCAGATAAAGTTTCTGAGAAATGTGAAAATATCGGTGATAAACTAATCGATTCTAAACGTTTCAATTGTCTAGATGTAGTCACATATAAATTCTGTAGAAAAAAAAACATTCAAGAAAAGATGAATTAATAATGATTAAAATAAATTTAGTACTTACTGATCATTATTATCATTAACTATTATAAATCAATTAAAAGTTTCAATAGTTCAGATCATGAATTAATTGAAGTTAGACCATCATGGAAAACCTGAAAGCACTGGACGGAGTCATGGATGTGCACTGCTACTGAGGAGTACCACAACAAGATGAAATAGTCGTCCAATGCTTACAGGTTTTTCATGATGATCTAACTTCAATTGACTGATGATCTATGTTAAGAAAGTCTCTAGCCTCGAGTAAACGGGGTGTTTGTAACTTAGTACATAACACTGGCGACTTATAATGTTTGATAAGTAAACTGAAATGACTATCTGATAGTCAGTATAATTATATGGTTCAATTAATAACCAACGCTTTAAGAAGCTGTACATCTTAACAAGTTAATTACATTAGCAATAGGATCAACATACCACCGATGACGTTAGATGAGAAATATGCGATATAACTAATTGACAGACATCAAATCAGTAGTCTGTACTTGATGCCACATCTTATCATTTAGAATTTGATACCATATAGAGTATAAAATGTATACATGGATTCCAAGTCAGAAACTACAACAAAACTATGCTAAAGTTTCTTATCTTTCAATACATTACCTAGTTAATGTTCATGGTGAGACTATAATTTATGGACGACTTTTGAACGACGCCAGACTGACCTTAGAAGTGTCCAATTAATAACCAGGACCAATTAAGGGTCATAAACTAGTGTAAGAAATACAAATTACAATTAACAGTTGATGATTAAAGTTAGAAATTCGATTTAGGTTTCTCATCATGAACTGATATCAGATATAATGTCAAAACTCTATTTATCTGAATAAATGAGTGGATTTCGCGCTAAAATCCGAGACCTGTTATCTTATACGTGATTGGTTCGTCCATAAATTATAGTCTCGCCATAATGTCTAACTTCAACCAATCCACCATTGTCTTCAGTCAGTAACTGTCTCACAACAGACATTATTGAACTCCACTACTTATGGCTTCTCATTAGAATTCCAGGAAATCACATGAGCAGGATCATGAATACACACTGCTGAAGAATCTTATACTAGAATAAAACGACCAATGCTAAGTCAGAAACTACAACAAAACAACTATTCTAAGGTTTCTTATCTTCTAATAAATTACCTAGCTAATGTTTATCATCAAATGTGTCTAATGTTTAATCAAAAAACAAATCAATTTCATTTCCAAATCCTGATTACTGGCTTAATATATTCAACTGTGTGTGTGTGTGTGCGTCAATGAGCAGAAAAAGACTCCATCTTATTAAATTCAAACGATCATTAACGAAATTCATAAAAGTTCTGTTCGATGAATTGTTGCTAGGTCACTGAAAAAAATTATTGAATAAAAATTAATTCCCATAGAAACATGAAAGTTTTTTAGGCGAAAAAAATTTTTTTTCCAATTTGAATATAATTTCATGAATTAATATAAACAGAAAAAAAACACAACAGTAATTGTGTGAAATGAGATCTAGATGAGTTCTGTTTTTCTTTTCTATTATGGCAATATGGCAAACAAATTGTAATTGCTGGAAGCATTGGACAGTTGGCGGTTTGTCATATTATGCAACTCCTCTGCAGTGTTATTATACGATCCTATAGGCAGGCCTCGAACCCAGAATCTTCGATCTCAAGCGTAAACGCTTAACCTCTAGACCAGTGAACTGTCATTCAATGATGTTAATGTCATAACTTCAATAAACCTATAATCTTGAGCAAACATTTATCCATTGTCTGAGTTCGATATTTATCTCTACTCGATACGGATTGGACTTCTCAATAGAACTTCAGGAAATTCATCTTGAAGCCAATCACTAGTGAGAAAATGATGATTATTGATCGGAACAGGGGTTTGTGAAGATTGTAGTAATTATAATAGTTGAATTCATAAGTCGATTTAATTTAGACTGTTGATATACCTAATCAATGTATTTGTTCCCAATAGAAGTCATTTTTAATTATAATTTATAGTATTGATATGATTCAACTAAACTTTTGTTTAGTAGACAACAATTTCCGATGGAAGATGTTTCTTATGGTCTATAAAATTTTTTATTTTATTTATTTTAACACATAGGTATTGGTACAAGGAGGCACCAAATACATATGCGCCACACAAATCTCAATTGATTTGTGTGAGCGCTGTGATACTGCCCGGGTGCCCAAACCGAAGCAGGTGGTTTTCTTAGGGGACCACACCCCGAGCCTTTGACCTGAACGTCTGATCCACAAGGCAGTGGAGCATCGTGAGGAGATGCAGTCCCACGGTGACCGGTGACCAGCGATCGGTTCATACGCCATTTGTTCCCCCAGGATACTGGAGCCAATGTGCACCATTGTTTTGGGATCCGGTTATAGCGCCGGACATTCGCTTTTTGTCCTCTCATTTTCGTAAACAACACTCGTAGTGCGAGAATGCAGTGAGTAGGACTTCCTTGGCAGAAGCCCTATGGTCTATAAAATGTTGTTAATATAAAATCCTAACTTTCTTTCCTAGCAGTTAAGTTGGACAAAGAGTATAATCATCAAAAGCAAAATGTACATTATCAAAATCAGAACAATTCGAGTTCCGTTGAGAAAAAGTTATGAATATCATAGTAATTTTAATAGTTGAAGATCATGAGTCAATTGAAACTAGACTACCATAAAAAACTTGGAAGCATTGAATGACCATTTCGTCGCATTGTAGGACTCCTCAGCAGTGCGCACCCACGATCACAGTATATACATTTGTAGTATTACTATATATTTACACATTTCCTATGTATAATGATAAATGTATCTCTTAAAGCCATAGTTTATTTTACAGAATTTTCTTTGGAACTGTTATTGTTAATCTTTGAGAAAACTATTCCTTTAATATGTATTTCTGAAATTTATCTTTTAGGATAAAGCTATTGAGATACATATACCACAATGAATTAATTCACAAAGATTAACTAGATAGCATGAAAGAACTTTGTATATAAAGGGAAATACTATCAGTAGTATAGTCAATGATTATTATTCCTAATTAAACATATTTTCACTTTATTACAATAAATATAAAGTGAATTTTCAATCATTATTATTGATGTATTAATAGATAAAATGGTGATTGAAGGTAGTCAACAAGAAAACCTGAACCCGAGTTTTGTACTATTTGGCATCAGTTCCTTCAAGATTACAGGTACACCTTGTTGACGAGTGTCAACTAGCACAAAGCCCGGGTTCAGTGTTTCCTGTTGACTACCTCCAACCACTATCTTATCTTAACATAGTGCACGTAATGTCGAGTCACCAAGACTAGTGGCCATATTGCAACTTGGTGAAGTAACCAAACTTGAACAGAAATAAACAAACAATAGTTATTTGAGAAAGTAACTCATTGTAATCCACTAACGTACATTAGATTCTTTAATCCAATTAATAAAACTGATTCTAGTCTAAAAAAAAAATACTTTCAAACTAAACGTAAAAAAGGATTATAATAGTAATCAATGTGATCATGATGCAATCATTGGCAAATTAGTAGTATAAAGTACAGATCGAATAATAACATAGTCAATATCTTTCAGCTTTATAATAATGATGATAGTGTAGTGAACAGAACATGATTAGAGAACAATTGAATGTATTTGAACCTGTTTATAAAATCTAACAACTATATAGTAAATGCACAATCTACAAAATGACAATTAATTGTCTCAAAATGACTCAGACTTCATTGTTCTTGTATTTTCATACAAATTGCATTCTGTTCCCATTGTTTACTATCCAATCCTTTTGTCTCACTGCTAGCAAACATTCTGTTCATGACTAACGTCCTATACTACTTATGTCTTTATATAAGTAGCACACACACACACCACAATAGTACATTATTTTAAAATAAACTAGTTAAAAGATAGCTCAGATTCAATCTCTAATGAAACATTAACATGCAAATCATACGTGAAACGTATTACTGTATATAACAGTAATACTGAAATCAAAACTCAACATGCAATGAAATTTGTAAAAATATTTCAATCATTTGGGTATAACTTACCTGTATATATAAATAGATAATTGTTAATAAACAAATAGGAATAATCATAAATACATTAAGTGTACAAGCAAGGCATAAAGTTAAGAAACATGTTAGTACACAATTTAATGTACTATTAAGTGAAACTAATACTGGATTATCCAATGTTGCAATATCTTGTGAAAAACGATTTACAATTCTTCCCTATATAGAAATAAATAAATAATTAAATAAATGAATTAGGAACAAGAAGAAAAAAAAAACGATGATAAATTTTATTGAAATGCATTAAAACCAATCATCTATCGGTAGTCAGTCAGTCAATCAGTCAGTTAGTCAGATACAACGTAGGAGCAGGCTCACATATGTATCGGTTCAAGTTGACACATCTTACTCATTAGCACAATAAGATGAACACTAAATTCATAGAAGTAGTTAATTCAATAGTGGTAGTAATATATAAAAGAAACATTGTGTATAAGGATATAGTACAGAAAGAAAGAATGAGTTTGTAGAAAGAAAGATATGAAGTGATTTTAATCTCTTAGTTTGAAGGAAGACAGAGAATGTATACACCGACGCCATTGTGATTGATTCTGAGCCATGCCAAACACAGTCTTCAACCATTGGTTACAATAGTTGTGTGAACACCGACCAAGTAGTCTGTATCTACCAACATGGCTAAAAACTAGAAGTTAGTGACTTCAAGTACTGATGCCAAGTTTTGCTTTGGTCGAACCTAACTTTCTTCCAACCATCCCCAACACCGGTTAGCATTGCACGTCGTGGCAATCAGTGTTCAGGCATACGTAACACGTGGACCAACCATCTCAGTCAATGAAGGTTCACAACCTCATCAACTGATTTACCATCATTCCCTAATACCCTGTGTCTAACCTCACTATTACTTACCCGGTGATCCAAGCCGATGGTAGCAATATTTCTATGACATCTGTGATCAAATACTAGCAAATTACGAGTATATTCTACTCTACGTTTCTCAGCCGTAAAGTAGAACAGAACGAACGGCCTCACAGTATACTCGTCCCTTAATTGATAGACAAATATCTCGCCTTCGCCGTAGGTCGACATAGTAGATAGTATTGCTTCCAAATATTTCGGCGTGCCGGAAGTTGGCTTAAGTTTACTCTCCTTCTAGAATTACTATAACAGAACCTCTACTAACTAATGAAGGTGTTTTTATTAAGAACGTGAAAAGATAAACAGATGTGCAGAACTTAAACCGAATTGATAGATATGTATATGATATAAAAAGATGTTGTACAACGGAGCGAGAAGTATAGTTCATAGTTATTTTCTTAAATAATGATAATTATCGCTAGTGTGTAGGCTAAGATATTGTTTACACATCCAAACCAGAACAAATACAATTGTAATGTGATCACTCACGTTAAGTTGGAATCCACTAAATATTAGGCTTAATTTATGAATATGATGGTAACCAAACCTGAGTCGTATGCTTATTTATTCTGTTAGAATCTGGATCTCTGTACACAGTAATAGTTTTCAATCAGAATTTACGAGTCCTTAGGTTAACCTATCACCCAAGTTTACATCTCGGATACCTGTAAAATTATTCCGTTTATATACATAGAAAATACTTAACAACAAAAATTATAAAAATATGTCTATATATATTATAAGAATGAAACTTACATGAGGAACCAAATCGAAAAATGTAGCTGGAGCATGTAATACATAGCTTAATAATCGACAATGTAATCGTATAACACATCCTAAATGACCGATGGACAATGTATATATAGATAACATTGCGAATAAGACTAAGATAAATGAGAAACAACAATAGTAGATATGATACATTTATAATGAACATGAAATGAATAGATTTTGTTTACATAATAAAGAATCAATTGAAATGAGAAAGAATAATGAAATGGAATCATAGAATTCTTTATACTACTAATACTTCATACATACATACATACATACATACATACATACAGATACATAGATCCAAGAGAACAAGAATTAAAGAATCCAATCATTTCTATATACCCCACCACCACCACCACCACCACCACCAGATTATGTAAAAGTATGATTTATAAGCTAACTAAAAGCACTCATATAATACATCTATATTGAATCATAGAAACAAATATTCATGCTATATGTTTCTGTTAAACCACCTGCCTTTATATAATATAACCATATTCCAAAGATAAGGCAAATGATAACACTGATTAAAATTCCTTTTATTGAAATTAATCCAAATAAATAAAATATTTGTCCAGAGATAATTATTATATCCAAGAAAAGATTAATTAAACCAGTGATAGTAAATGGTAATACATTTTCAATATTTGCAAAATCTACTGTTAAACAATTAATAATACAATAGATTGGGGTTTCATTATAATCACAATATTGACTATTGTTGCTATGTGAGTGATGACGGTGATGACGGTAATGATGGTGATGGTGATGATGATCATTCAATTTATTCACATCAGTTTGTTTGAATTGAATAATAGGTTTACTAATAAAACCTAATGGTAATTCTTTTGATTTCATTATTAATATTAAACGATCTATATAGAATCGTGTATTAGCTTTCAATATTCCAATAAAACCGATAATATCACCAATAACTTTTATGATACCTTGATATTTTGAAATGATTAGATAATAAGAGAGAAGAAAAACATTTAAAAAAATATTCACAGTAGATTAGTTTTTGTGATAAATCAAAGATGAAAGACAAAATAAATGTCGACAATTACTATCTCTCAATCAGTCAGTCAGTCAGTCAGTGACAAGGTAGAACTTCGTACGTACGTAAGTATATACATCAGTTCAAGTTGACATACTACTACATTAGCACACGGACACATTTGTCGATTCAAATCACGTAGACGCAGAAGTTATGAAACTATCAGCAGTAATCGGAAAGATTAGAGTTTGAAGATGTTATTCAAGGAGTATAATACAGTGAAATAAATTTGGAAAGAGAAAACAAAGGGATAACAAGAATTCAGAAGATTAGACTTCCGGAGAACACAAAAAGTGGATGCATCTGTGCCATTATAAACGATTTTGAGCCATGTCATTCAAGGTCTTTAACCATCGGTTGCTATCGTCTCGCGGATCCCAACCAGGTAGTCTACACCTACCAGAATAGTTCAATCCTCTTGTCAGTGACTATATGGATTTGTGTCATGTTTTGATGTGGCCGCACCTAGTTTTCTTCCAACCTACTCCTACACCACAAAACATAGTTCGTCGAGGCAGTTGGTGGTTGGGCATACGTAACGCATGTCCCAGCCATCTCGACTGATGATGTTTCATTACTTGATCAACTGATTTGCCATCCTTACCTAGTATCCGTTTCCTAACAACTGCATTACTTACTGAGTGGTCTCAGGATATACGAGCAATGCATTGAAGACACGTATGATCGAATAGTAGTAATCTCTAATAAATAAAAGATAATTTGGTATCATATATCTTGAAAAGTGATATTAGTTTTAAAATAATCAAAACGTTAGGAAATGTTTTTTTGATTAGAGTTAAACTTTTAATTCCAATAGATACTTCTACAGGTTATTTAGATCTTATATTCCTTCAACCAAATAATTAATACAGTTCTGATGGAAAGTTGTGTTCAACGATGTTGGATATCAAGTAAAAGTCACCGACGGCAATAGATAATAATTGGATAATATCACGAAGTGAATGAATTGAAAAATATAAAACATTAGATGGTGATTTGAAGAATAAGTGCTAGTAAAACGTCCTGTTGGTCCCAGGTTTGATCATGGATGCTCACTCCTTAGGAATCTCGTATTAGGACGGAACAGTGATCCAATGTTTCCTAGTCTTCGATGGTCTTCTAACTGAAGCTAGTTCGTGATATAAAATTACAAACTGTATCAATTGGCACATGTAGATACTAAAAAATAATTAAGTGGCACGCAATTTCATGAACACTCAGTATAGACTTTAAGTATTCGAGTACTGCTCATCCATGGAATGCTATTGTCTTGTTTTTGAAAAAAATCACTAAGTGAAACATTCAAATACAAGAGAGAAATATGCTTAAAACGTTTGTAGAAATCTAATATAATAATGATGGTTAGTAATAGTAGTTCATAAAAGTCCGATAACAGTTACAGTGAGATCCAATACAGTAATACCAATATTCAGAATAATCAATTAATGACAGGGTAAAAGATGTTGACAAAACAATGAAACATATAGTGAAGAGGATTTGTAGCTCCGGTAGATGATTTTGATGGGTTTTTGTTCTCTGAGCTAGATGGTTTAGTCGTGGAGCGTTCATCGTTCTTCTGAACGACATCATTAGATGAGAGAAATGTAAATTAACTCAGAACCAAATAAATCACTGTATATTACGATAAAATAATACTGATTTATTGATTTATTCACTCACTAAGCATATATTTTATGCACTCAGCTTTGAATCATACTTACGTTGAGTTAAGTCTAACGGCACCACTCGATCCCCTAAACTGAACTAGGTGACATAGACAAAGATGGATATTGGCTAGCAGTGGAATCTAGGACGCGCGTTTTGTCCTATTTGAGACTCGTCAGCTAGACGTACCTGCATCTCCGAGTTGATGTTCGCTCCGGAACTCGAACCCAGTAGCATTCACTTTAAACGCCGTCACGTTTCCACTGCTAGCCACTATCCATCTTTGCTTATAAAAGCTTGTGAATTAGGACAATATCGAGGCATATGCACAGTATGCAAATATGCCAATAACAAACTGATCAATTGCAGGCTTAAACTTCAATGGGAAGATAGAAGCAAACCAATACCAAGTTGGTGACATAGAGTTTGGAAGTTAAACCTATCAGTTGTATGTCACTGCCCTACGCAAAAATACAAATTCACCTGGAAAATGTACCAAAATTAGGTAACTAAGTCACTATTTACAATTTTAGTGGATTTACGACATAACACAACTGTCGACCTAAATAAGAATGATGATTTTGTTCATCTAAAACCTTAATATAAATGTAAGGAATTATGATTGTACACAGGTTAAACGTCCAAAACTTCAAAAATTTTCTTCGGAGAAATCAAGAAGTAATTGAAGATAGTCACGTGTCACAAGGTAAGCCCTCACTTGGAATCCTCAAGGCGAAAGGAAAAGAGGAATTACCAAAGAACACATTACGCCAGGGAATGGAGACAGACATAAATGAAGAATGAACAACAATTGGATAGAACTAGAAAGAAAGGATCAGGATAAAATGGGTTAGAGAATGCTGGTCGGCTACCTATGCTCCATTGGGAGTAACAGGCGTAAGTATGTAAGTAAGTAAGTAAGTAATGAAACAATCATAATAAATACATTTTTATATAAAAGTATTTATATCAATCTATCATTGTACTATACCTTGTAATATACCAATTAATGCATATATTGATAATCTATAATTACGTTGTGAATAAAATTGATCAGATATATTAAAAGATGAATTATATTGATTGATTTTTACATCATTTGACCAATCAGCTAACCATAAATTTGTTCCCAATGATAATAAATGATTTAATGGATAAAATAATAATACTAATAAACTATAAAGTAGTCCAATATTTTTAATATAAATTAAAAAGACTTGAAATTTAATCTGGAAAAAAAAAGAGAGAAAAACAAAATAAATGTTCAATAAAGAAAATGAGAATTATTCTCTTTTTTTTATAGTTTAAATCATTGATAGATCTTCGAATTGAATAACCATGGAGTATTGAATAGTTGTCTCATACCAGTATGGAACTCATCAGTAATGTGAACCCAAATGCCCTGGTACAACCGAGAGAAGGGGAGAGCCAGTTCTCCCTCACAAAATGTTCACATTGACAGGGAAGTTCTACTCATTGCTTTCTTTCGACGTCACTAATGTTTACGGAATTCAGATTACGGAAAGCGAATATCCGACTCTTTAACCGGGTTGGTGGATATGAAGGATCCATATAGGGGAGTTGAAATACCCTAATTCCAAACCAATGGTGCACATGCGATCTAGAATCCTGAGGGAACAAAAGGTGTATGAACAAATCGTTAATCAACATGGAACTGCATCTCCTTACGTTGCTCCACTCCGCCTTGTGGATTAGACCTTTACGTCAAAGGCTCGGGGTGTGGCCCCCTAAGAAAACTACCTGCTTCGGTCTAGGCACCCGGGCAGTATCACAGCCCACACACGCATAAAATGAAAATGACGATATTTACTGAAAATTGTATTCACGCTTCGGTTAACAGTCAAACAATCCACATTAATATTATTATTATTATTTACTACGTTATTTATTCACTCTCTTTTATTCACACTTTATGTATTCTTATTTTTCGACATATACGTCCTCGATTCACTGCCTGGTTTAAAATTGTATGCTACCACAAAATACGAATACTGAAGCAGTTTTTCTAAAATCACGTGCACTGTTCAAACTGGCTGTCTTCAACGTTCGCACACTTATGTATCTCCTTACGTTGCTCCACTCCGCCTTGTGGATTAGACCTTTACGTCAAAGGCTCGGGGTGTAGCCCTTTAAGAAAACCACCTGCTTCCGTCTGAGCATGACATACAAATCAAGCGACTTATGTGACGCCTATGTATTAAGTGCCCCTATTCAGGTCTTTTAGTAAGTGCATAATTAAAAACATCTTGGTTTATGATAGTTGTCTAAGACAATTTAGTAATGTAAAGTAAATAATTTAACCATTTTCATAACCTCCCAATAATTATAATATCTTATAACGTTAATCATTTTGAACATAAACAACACCACAAAATTAACACATATAAGATACCGGTATAAGTTCGTAAACAATTATAGGAGTAGTGATATAATTCAATGTAACACTGGAATCTATCAGTTATAATGAACTTAATCAATAGTACTAAGAACTAACGTATCCTGTCTTATTATCATTATACTATTCATCTATCATAAAAGAAAATGAAAATTAATGTATAATCATATCTTTGTATCTTATTATAGATGTCAATGGGGTTAGTGAATTGAAGTATATTTACATATTATGTGTTCTGTGGCTAATAATTTAACACATACACAACATATATTCATCATTCATCAAAATTCAATCACTTACTCGACCAGTGAGAACTTTTTCAGGTTGAATCATTGGTTGAATCGTTTTTTGCTCTTGTTCTTTTACGGTATCATCAGTGTCATTAACTTCAATGATCGATGATTTGTCCTAATTGATGAGTAAATAAGACAGTTTACAATTAGATAATAGTAATAATAATAGTACAGAAATTGCATGTAGAATTTTTTGATGATATATTACATCATAAGACTAAGTACTGCCGAGAGTGGGGAAAGTCAGCTATCCCGCTTCAAATGCTCTCACATGACCACGAGTATATAGCTTCTGCCAGGGAAGTCCTATTCACTGCCTTCTTGTGGCATTACTGTTGTTTACGAAATTGAGAGGACAAAAAGCGAAGGTCCGGCTCTTTAACCGGATTGGTGGACACAGAGAGTTCACCTAGGGGAGTCGAAAAACTCTCATCCCAAGCCAATGGTGTACATAGGCTACAAGATCCTCAAGGAAGAAATGGTGTATGAACTAATTATTGGTCATCGGCTACCATGAGACTGCATCTCCTCACGTTGCTTCGCTGCCTTGTGGATTAGACCTTTAGGTCAAAGGCTGAGGATGTGGCTCCTTAAGAAATCCACCTGCTTCGGTTTGGGCACCCGGGTAGTATCACAGCCCTCACACAAATCAAATGAGGTTTGAGTGGCGCATATGTATCTGATGCCCCCTTGAACCAATATCTGTGTTCAAATAATAAAAAATAACGAATATTGAACGAGATATTTTACCGTATGACATATTTCCATCAGTCATAGAAATGTTATCTGTTCATATTATTAACGATGACATAATCGATTACGAAATTAATTAAACAACTTATTCTTGATAATTGTGAATTATCACTACAATTGTCATGATGATTAATATTTAAAAGAATATCCCTTGAAATAGTATGAAGTTTCATACATCATTTTAGTTGAGAAGTGCTAACTCCTAACATAGAGTTTTCCAATAACAAATTCTAATTGACTGATAGTGAAAAATATTATTCATTGGTACCCAATACACAAAGGATCTCTTGTAGAGATCATAACCACTAGACTTCTGGTATAGTACACGTAAAAAAACAACACACACACTATGAAAATAATATCAGTAGTTGAGGTCATGAGTCAATTGAAGCTAAGCCACCATGGAAAACCTGGAAGCACTGGACTTCCATTTCATCCTATTGTGGGACTCTTCATCGTTCGATGCCGGCTCATTGGTCTAGTGGTTAAGCGTTCAAGAACGAGGCTGATAGGTCTTGGGTTCGAATCTCGCGATTTGGTATCGTGAGTGCGCATTGCTACTAAGGAGTCCCAACAATAGGACGAAATGACCATCCAGTGTTTCCAGGTTTTCCATGGTGATCTGGCTTCAAATAACTCATGATCTCAACTATTTAAATTACTATAATATCCGTAAAACCCCTTACTGAAAATAATATCAGACTATAAGTGAATTTTTATAAAAGTAAAAAGAAAAAGTACAAAAAACAAATAAACTATTTACTATACAAATAAACCACACCTAAACAATTAAAATTTACTACTGAACAAAATATCAGTAACTAAGCAACGTTCAGAATAAAAAAATCTTTCATAGTTTATTCATACATGTAATATCTTTAGAATAATTTACAAATTTACTTTGGTTAATATAATATGCTAATGATGTAATAAATCAAATGAATAAAAAGAAAAGAAACATAGAAAAATTGACTTAGTAACTAAGTTTTAACTTGATTCATGTATTATTTGATGATTAGTTACAGTTTAACTATATACAGTTTAATTAGATGTTGTTGTGTTTTTTTATGTTGGCTATTAACTACACCTTTTGTTATATTACATAAATGATAAATAATGAAATTCAAGAGTTACATGTCATTTGATTTGAATATAATTGAAATTCAAGTTCAGGATTTGAAGCAATGAACTGAAGTCTCAATGTTAACATTGAAATGAAACACCATTCAGTGAGTATAAGTTATAGATTCACATGGAGCAGTTGGCTAGTAGTTGAAGTACAAGATTTTAGATGGTGGTTGAAGGTAGCCAACAGGAAACCCTGGATCTAGGTTTTATGCTACTTGGCACTCGTCAACAAGGTATACAAGTAATATGAAGGGAACTGATGTTCCCTAACGGATTTGATTCCATGCCATCTAGCTTCACAGTCAGAGACGTTACCAATAACTTATCCCGGTTGCGAATGACATCCTATAGTATTGTATGTGTTTACAATTAATTGATCACTGGGTGGTGATCAACCAAGTTGCAATATGGCCACCAGACTAGGTGACTTGACATTGCATACACTATGTTAAGATCAAATGGTGGTAGATAAGATTCGATCTCCAGTAAAAAGGAGCTGACATATATGACAGTGATCACCACTCAGCGATCAGTCAATTATAAGAACACGGATCAAGTGACTTACGTGGCGTATATGTATTCGGTGCCCCTTTGTGTCAATATTTATGTGTTCAAATAAATAAATATATAAGTACAAGACTTTTAACCACTATATTTGACTCCCACCTCATCTACTTCACTCATAACAACTAGATAACATCTCTGGCCCTTATAAATAAACTGAACTTCTAATTAAAATAAACAAAGATGTATCACGTACAATGCATTACTCATTTAACCAACAACAACAAAAACATGTAAGGGATATTAGATTCTAATCAATGCTTATCGTATTTTACAGCTACATGTCTAAATGAATGATAAAAAAAGAATAGTTTGCTGGAAGGTAAAAACACCTATTAGGAAATACAGTGCATAAACAGAGATCACCTAGTTAGCTACAGTGTTATAAATGTTGAAATGATCACTATGTAATGAAATACTTAAATTGAGTTATTATTCTAGTTATTAATCAATTATCAGAAAGGATCGTGTGGAGATTTTAGAAATTTCACTGGTTGAAATCATGAATCAATTGAAGCTAGACCACCATAGAAAATCTGGAAGCACTGGACGGCCGTTTCGTCCTAGTATGGGACTCCTTAGCAGTGCGCATCCACGATCCCGCTCCTCACGAGATTCGAACCCAGGACCTATCAGTCTCGCGCCAAGCGCTTAACTAAATCCCTCAAACTGTATTGCTTACATCATTACATAAGAGGCATTTTAACGACAATGATCTATTTGACTAGAAAAATGAAACATTGAAAAAACAAGTGAAAACAATCACAAGTCAAATAGATTATTTTAAACAAGTAAGAATTTGAAACATTATCATCTAAATAATGATGATCAAATTATACAGGATTCATTTATTAGATCCTAAATTTAAACATTACCCCGACCAATTTATCTTGAATAAATAACTAATGGTATTAAACTTTATGAATAAAATAGGTTGCTCACTTATGAATTATAAGTTTGTGCACTCAAGATTTTGGTAAGTGTTACCACCATCTAGTTGCTAAATAAGAATAGGATTCGAACCTGTAACTTATTGATTGAAAATCGAATTGTTCAACCATTGGAATAACACTCCACAAGTTATTATTTCAAGCTTTAAACAATCGAGTTCTTGCATTTTATGAACTTTAGTTCATACCTTATAATGTAGTAAATGATTGAAGCTAACCCTATTTCAACTAGAATAACCGTAAAGTTTACTAGTAAGGGTCTCTTGAGTTAAGTAGTATGTTATGTTAGTTGTCTCAGTTATTATAGATTGATAAGGTACCCCATATGATTTGCCACAATTAAATAGTATAAAACATAACCTTAACAATTTTAATGGTCAAGATTTTGCATTTATATATACAATTTAAAAAGCCTTCATTGAAATAAATATACTTACGAATCTTTGAGATAATCTTGTTGAAGTAAGACTCGATCGTCCGAGATTATGATTATCTATACTCAATGTTTCTGAAGAACTTTTATGATGATGTTCAGATGCTGGAGATGATTCAAGAGGTAGAATACAATTTGGTTCAAGGAATTCTGGAAAGTAAATGAATATTTGTTGTTTTTATTTGCCTAATTAATAATAAAAACCAACTAGCTATTTATTTAACTTGATCAAGGAGATTAATCCATAAGAAAAATATCCAAGAATATTTCACAAAAAAACGGAAGTGTTGGTTCCAACACGTCATAGAGAACACAGAGGACACTCACGTCAGAACATTTGAAAATTTAGACAACAGCCATCGAGATATCATGCAAACGATACAGAGAACAAAGAAGAAACACCCTAAAGATCTCAAAACCACCCATGGAAGAAAACACAAACAACTGCGTGATTAATCTGTCAAAACAACGACTAACAAATACGTAAGAACACTTACTCAGAAATGGATTAAACTGCAATACAAGCGATGCCTCAAAAGTGGAATTCTTTGCAGCACTAGAGTTATCACTCAAAACTTCCGGAATCAGTAAAGAAACACAACGAGAGGTCGACTACTTAATTATTCAAAGAAATTTATAAAGTGTTCAAAATTATTCTAGATCAAACATCAAATCCAGTTGTTTAGATCAAAAGTGATGAAGATTTGACGATTTCAACATGTTACTACTCTTTATATATATATATATATATATATATATATATGCCCCCAAATGCCCTGGTATAGCCGAGAGTGAAAAGGATCCGCTCTCCTTCTCCAAATGCTCTCACATGGTCACGCGTATATAGCCTCTGTCAGGGAAGTCCTACTCACTGCATTCTCGTGGCATTACTGTTGTTTACGAAAATGAGAGAACGAAAAGCGAATGTCCGGCGCTCTAACCGGATCCCAAATCAATGGTGCACATGGGCTGGCTCCAGTATCCTGAAGGAACATATGGCGTATGAACCAATCGTCGGTCACCGACTACCATGGGACTGCATTTCCTTACGATGCTCCACTGCCTTGTGGATCAGATGTTCAGGTCGAAGGCTCGGGGTGTTGTCCCCTAAGAAAACCACCTGCTTCGATTTGGGCACCCGGGTAGTATCACAGCCCTCACACAAATCAGTTGAGATTTGTGTGGCGCATATGTATTTGGTACCTCCTTGTACCAATATCTATGCGTTAAAATAAAATTATACAAATATATACTGTTAATCGGATAGTAATCAGTCGGTCGGTCACCCTATGACGTAATAGGAATATTTACAATTTCAAATTGTAGCAATTCATATTACCACAGATAGAGATGAAAATTAACGAAATAAATAACAAAAAAAAGACAGAGAAAAGGAGATAAATCACAACAAAAATCCAATCATCATAATAAGAAGTACAATATGAAAGAATATTCCATTTGTTTATGAATAAAGACGGAACACAGATTGATTTATCTTCTTCTGGATCACTTTTATTTCAGGTATTTTTCAAGGTCTGAATAATTCAACAGCTTGATATCTAATCGATAGTGAGCATATCATCCAATTTCATAAATCATTCAAAATTATCAATAGACATTAAAATGTGACTGGTTTACATTTTGCTAAAACAAAATCTACAAAATCCCATCTGATATTAATCAACATATGCCCAATAGTGAAGGTCTCCAAGAGGTGTTTCCTGGAGTTCTAGTGAGAAGTAGTGACCAGTGGAGTTCAGCCGAGTCAGTTGTGAGATAGTAACTCACTAAAGACAATGGTGGATGTGTCACTCAATTTCGTGGATTAGTTGAAGTTAGAAATTAACACCGTCACATGCCGGCCGACTCAGTGGTCTAATGGCTAAGCGCTCGAGTGCGAGGCTGTTAGGCCCTGGGTACGAATCACGCGGGAGGCGAGATCGTGGATGCTCACTGCTGAGGAGTCCCACGATGAGACGAAACAGTCGTCCGGTGCTTCCAGGTTTTCGATGGTGATCTAGCTTCAAATGACTTATGATCTCAACTATAAAAAAACAATTTCTATTAAAAAAACGAAACCGAATTTATGTATTCAAAAAAAGATAGTTGTCCATTTATCACTATCATGGTGAATCCATAATTCGGTTTAAAATCGTCTCCTCTTATTATTATTATCATCATTATTATTATTAATATTATGACTGATATTTTGGATAGGACACACATTGGGGAAAGCACCGAACTGCGTCACAAGACAAGCCCTCATATGGAATCCTCAAGGTCGAAGGAAGAGAGGAAGACCAAAGAATACATTACGCCGAGAAATGGAGATAGATATGAGAAAAATGAACAAGAATTGGATAGAACTAGAAAAGAAGGCCCAGGACAGAGTGGGTTGGAGAATGCTGGTCGGCGGCCTATGCTCCATTGGGAGTAACAGGCTTAAGTAAGTAAGTAAGTATGACTGATATTTTGTCATCCAGTTTTCATTTCTTTAGGAGACCCGTTGAGTTGGATCGTGTCAGGTGTTAGGCAGTTACCTGCAGAAGACAATAAAAAATGTTCACCCAATATCGTAGATTGATTGAAGTTAGAAATTAACATCAGTGAATGCCGACTTAGTGGTCTGAAGGTAAATCATTTGTGCATGAAACAGGAGGTACTGACTTCGAATCCCGGTTGCGGCGCCGTGAGTGAGTACTACTGAGTTTCAAATCAGGACGAAATGGCCATTTAGTGCTTCCATGTTTTTAATAGTGATCTATCATTGATCGGTTCATGATTTCAATGTAACTTTATCGATTGTAAAATGATCTTTTTTTACTCATAGAAATCTTAAGCTCATATAAACTTTTCGAATCATCTATAACTATTATGCAGTCCAGAAATCAGTTTAAAGAAGGTTGTCTGACTGCAGACTATAAACGTACATGTTATTTTATAATTTTAGTGTACTGAACATAGACAAAATTTATTACCTTTTGTTAAATTTTCCGGTGAACAATCTACCAATTCTTTCGATGAATTTGATTGAACTTCTGATTCAGCTCGTATAGCTGTTATTAAAAATGCAGATAAACGACTAGTATGTGAATGTATCAATTGTCGATAATTACCCAATTCAATTATTTGACCATCAGACATTAGACCAACACGATCAGAGAATGGTAAAGCTTTAGGACTATGTGTAGTAAGGATGCATGTTTTAGAAGCAAGCAAACCAGTAGAACGACTTAATACATATTTAAGTAAATGTAAGCCAACATGTGCATCAACAGCTGACAATGGATCATCTAATAAATAGATATCAGCATCAGCATAACATGCTCTAGCTAGGCTAACAACAACAAAAAGAGAATAAAGGCACGAAATATGATGATATTGATTAGACTAGAACAAATGAAAATTAGTTGTCATTAATAAAAACTCGGCTTTTAGAAAAGAAAAACCAGACATTACCAGTCATGTATAATCACTTTTAAAGCATGTAAAACTTCTCTAATGTTAGAAGGGAAATAGAGTTATCTATTTACCTCTGTAGACTTAAACAGATCTCGAACTAATGGACTTATAATTTCAACAGCTTACACCCTCAACTGATATCATATCATTTAAGGGTGGAGTTGCGTAAAAACAATAAAACGTATTATCACACTACATATATTAAGAAGATCACAAACAAGTCAACAAAGGAATTTACGTAAATGGAAGTTGATTACCATTCATGAAAAAATTAATTCTGTTTCGCCTAGAAACTAAATACTATATAAACAACTGCGTTATATCATGTTACCATCTTATAAATGCGTGTACTTAAACATCATTTCTGAGCATTAATCGTGATTTGTAAATAACAATAGCTGAATATGTATTTATATCGCTCTAGAAACAATTCGATAGTCCGCCACAAGTAAATGATAAATAACCAAATAAAACAAAGGACTGATCAGTCATTTATGATGTAATATAAGGAAGTGGTCCAAGGTATATACTTGCTCTCCCTCTCTAAATGCTCTCACATGGCTGTGCGTACACAGCCACTGACAGGGAAGTCTTACTCATTACATTCTTGCGGCATTACTGTTGTTTACGAAATTCAGTGGGGAGTTGGGAAACCCTGATTCCAAACAAATGATGTTCATGGGCTCCAGTATCTTGAAGGAAAAAATGGCGTATGAACCTATAGTTGGTGACCAGCTACCATGGAACTGCATCTCCTCACGTTGCTTCACTGCCTTGTGGATTAGACCTTTAAGTCGAAAACCCCAAATGTGGCCCTCTAATAAAACTACCTACTTCGGTGTGGTCGATCGGTCAATATCCTAGCCCTCACATAAATCGAATGATTTATATGGCTCATATCTGTTTGCTGCCTCCTTGTACCAATGTTTATGTGTTGAAATAATATAAAATAAACAAGGTATAAACTTAAGTTTGTTAATAACTTAGTAATGAGGAAATTTTAATTACCTTACTATGTACCCCCCCTCCCTCTATATTATTGATTTTAACATTTACAGGTATAATGATTCATGTTGTTTACCATTATCATCATCATCATCATCATCATCGTTGTTTCTCTCTAGTTGTTTTAACTTTATTTTTCAATAAAATTAAAATGTAAACAAACTTGTTGAAACACAACTGAGCTAATTTATTATCACATTTTGACATCATGTATAAAGCTATATGATTATACTCTAAACAAGGTATCATTTACTGAATTAATAATTTCATAACTCGCTATAAACTGAAAAAAATTAAAATGTTTATCATAAATCAACACAGTATGAATAACTCTTGGGAGAGTTATGATAACGATGACATACTTTTAAAAGTATAAATTTTTGTCAGTCAGTCAGTCAGTCAATCAATCAATCAGTCAGTTACAATGGAGGACAAGGAACACATATGCATAGGAAAAATGACCAGGTTAAGGGTAAAGTACATCGTTTAAAGTATGTGAACTGTAGGATTGTGATAAACAAAATACAATAAAATTGTTCATGTTGACATGACTCATATAGAATGTTAAGTTGAATCTGTGTATATGTATTATTATTATTATTTGTATTATTGGTTAAAGATCATTATTAATCTCCCCATACATGATTCATTCACTTCGCATTCTTCCCTCCTTATTACGTCTTATTTATTTGATCGAATGGTAATTGCACTATTATTTCTCTCCCACCCTATTTGATCCATATTTATTCTGATCATAGAACTTATAAGATATAAAGTAATTTTTATCTCATCGTTTAAAGGACGACAGAGAATGTAAACACCGACGCCATTGTGATCGATTCTGAGCTATGTCACACAGTCTCCAATTGTTGGCTACGATAGTCACACGGACCCCAACCAGGTAGTCTGCATCTACCAACATGGCTAAAACTAGAAGTTAGTGACTTCAAGTACTGATGCCACGTTTTGGTTTGGCCAACCCTAACTTTCTTCCAGCCATACCAAACACCGGTTAGCATTGCGCGTCGTGTTAATCGGTGTTCAGGCATACGCAACACGTGGCCTAACCATCTCAGTCGATGAAGATTCATAACCTCATCAACTGACTTATCATCATTCCTTAATACCCTACGTCTAACCTCACTATTACTTACCCGATGATCCCAGCAGATGCGAGAAATATTTCTAAGACATCTGTGGTCAAATATTAGTAGCTTAGGAGTATCTTCTACTCTTAATGGCCACGTTTCGTAGCTGTAAAGTAGAACAGAACGAACTGCCGCGCACTATACTGGTCCCTTCATTGATAGACGGATATCTCGCCTTCGCCATAGGTAACGTACGTTGGAAAAAGCCAAATGAGCTTTCTGAATCCGTGCTGAGATTTCGTCAGACACCAACTCATTAGGGCTGATCAGACTTCCAAGATAAGTGAAGTTGTCGACGCGTTCGACTACTTCACTCCCTATACTTAGTTCAGGTATTGACGCAGACCAGTCCTGAAGCAACAACTTGCGTTCAAAGGGGGAGAAGTACATTCCAAACATCCTGGCACTGTTGATTAGTATCATCAACAGACTCTACATTTTATCAGCGTCTTCACCAAACAGGACTATGTCATTAGCATATTGTCAGTCGATAAGTGTACCCCCTGGATAAATTTTATAGTAAAAATGGTTGGAATTCATTTGGAACTAATTGATTTTAGATGACTACCTTACAATACTCTCAAAGGTCGATTATGAAACTTAAAAACAAATATCAATAGGTTTCTTTAAAAGAGTCCCTAAAATAATAAGTCAGGTTATTATGAATTTAATTAATTGGGCGTTTTCAAGATTCACTAATTTTTCATTGAATTAGTTCTTTTGATTAATTTTATAAAATATGAATTAAAAAAAGCTATTGTGGGATAAAGGTGAATACGTTTCATAATATGAGCTTTGAAACTTCTACATACTCACTGATTAATATTAGTATATATAAAACTGAATAAATTAATTTTCGCCCTCTAATGACCTGGTATGGCCAAAAGAGGGGAGAGTCAGCTCTCCTTCACCAAATACTCTCACATGGCCATGCGTATACAGCCACTGTCAGGGAAGTCCTACTCATTGCCTTCTCGCGGCATTACTGTTGTTTGGTGGATATAGAGGATCCACCTAGGAAGGTTGAAAAACCATCATTCCAAACTAATAGTGCACATGGGCTCTAGCATCATGTAGGAACAAATGATGTATAAACTTATTGTTGGTCACCGGCTACCATAGGACTGTATCTCCTTACGTTACTCCACTTCTTTATGAATCAGATCTTTATGTCTAAGACTCCGAGCGTGGTGTCCTAAGGAAACCATCTATTTCGGTCTGTGCATCCGGGCTATGTCACAGTCCACATACAAATCAAGTGACTTATGTAATGCATATGTATTCGGTGCCCCTCTGTACCAATATTTATATATTCAAATAATTGTAATGTCAACATTCATTATTTATATAAATCAATACATTTGTAAAAGATTTAGAATACATAAAATGAAATAAATTCACTCATTTCTATTTTAATCTCTTCTAGATGTACCCCTAGATGGCCTGTTTTCTATTTTTCTTACTATGAATAATATGATCCGAAAAAAAAAATTCAATAACCATATATCTGTTCGGATATTCAGAATAATATCCCCAACAATTATCCTGTTAACTCTAATGCTATCCTTGAACGTGAAATGGTGTCATTTTGCTATTGGTCAATATTCACAATAGTCCTAACAGCATATATATATATTTGCCTGTAAATTCTCATTCTTATTATTCTTCTCCTGATCCCATAAACAATTTTCATCTAACAGTTCTTGTTCTGATATATATTCGAGATTGGGGAACAGTATTAGGATTGTACTGGAATATTTGCAGTTGGTCAATCGGTAGAATTTAGAGTACTCATCACATGGTCTACAATAATATCATGAATCTTGATAAGAATATTATAAATGGATAATAAGAAAACAAAGAAATTAGGCCAATATTTTATTAAAAATATTCTAATTACCTGACACGTTGTTTTTGTCCACCTGATAAATTAATACCTTTATCACCAATTTCAGTCATATCACCATTAGGTAATATTTCAAGATCTGGGATTAAATTACATGCATGTAATACTTGTTGATATTTAATTGGTTCATATGAATGATGAAATAATATATTATCACGTAATGTTGCATTAAATATCCATGGTTGTTGTGGGACATAAGCTACAGTACCCTATAGTGTGTTTAATAGATATAAAATACATAAGTGTATATATATTTATATAATGTATGGTGAATAGGTACAAATAAAATTATAAAGTATATGAATTAATCAACAAACCCCTAAATGCCTTGATATGGCCGAGTGTAGGGAGAATCAGCTCTTCCTCTCCAAATACTCTCATATGACCACATGCATAAAACCACTGTCAGGGAAATCCTACTCACTGCCTTCTTGTGGCATTAGTGTTGTTTACAAAATTGAAAGGGACGAAAAGCGAACATCCGTTGCTTTAACCAGGTTTATGTGTTTAAATAAATAATAATAAATTAACCGGTAAATTATAATACATCATTAAATAATATTTTCATTTATCGAAATAGATTAACTAGTAACAAAAATTAGATAATTGATTTCTATATCATTACTCTGAAAACTATGATGAATTTCTATCCATATCAGAAGGGGTTTCGTGGATATTATATTAATTTCAATAGTTTGAGATCATGAGTCAATTGAAGCCAGATCATCATGGACAACCTGGAAGTACTGGATAGCCGTTTCGTCCCACTATGGGAATCTTCAGCAATGCACCCAAATGCCCTGGTATGGCCGAGAGTGGGGTGGGCCCGCCCTCCCTCTCGAGATCCTCTCACACGGCCACGCGTATATAGCCTCTGCCAGCGAAGTCCTACTCACTGCATTCTCGCACTACGACTGTTGTTTACGAAAATGAGAGGACGAAAAGCGAATGTCCGGCGCTATAACCGGATCCAAAACCAATCGTGCACATGGGCTGGCTCCAGTATCCTGAAGGAACAAATGGAGTATGAACCAATCGTCGGTCACCGGCTACCATGGGACTGCATCTCCTACCGATGCTCCACTGCCTTGTGGATCAGATGTTCAGGTCGAAGGCTCGGGGTGTTGTCCCCTAAGAAAACCACCTGCTTCGATTTGGGCACCCGAGCAGTATCACAGCCCTCACACAAATCAGTTGAGATTTGTGTGGCGCATATGTATTTGGTACCTCCTTGTACCAATACCTATGTGTTCAAATAAATAAATAATACTGGAAAGCCGTTTCGTCCCACTGTGGGACTCTTCAGCAATGCGCATCCACGATCCCGCCTCGCGAGCTTCGAACACAGAATCTATCAGTCTCACACGTGAGTGCTTAACCTCTAGACCAGTGAACCAGCATCCAACGGTGTTAATGTCTAACTACAATTAATCCACGTAATTAAATTTAACTTATTAGTAGAATAATTCTGTACGATATGGTCTAATTAGATTGTACAATTACAAATTTCAACACATTAAGGTCATAAGACGTAATCTTCATGAATAATGATATATATTATAACTCTTTTAATCACTAATACAACTATATATAAGATTAATTGTGTATTATTAGTATTATGGTAGTATCAATCTACTTATGAAAAGTGATTAACACTTTGATTATCTGATTTGATGAACCATCATAAGCTAACTAAACTCCTTAATCCATAAAATAAAAAAAACGTCGGTATCAAAAGGATGATACTCTATCATATACATAAATATCCCTTGATATCTTTACTTATATCTTAAAGTTAGATGACCCTCCCTTTTCTCACTGAACTTGGTCATCATCAATGAATTTATCTGTGAAATGTAAAATCGTTATGAAGAAATACCATTAAGCATATAATGTAACAATAAAATTAGTGACCAAGTATATGAAGAACGTCACTTGAAAGGAATTCCAAGAATATTTTAAACCATGGCAATGAATATAAGAAAAGTACATCACTATGAGTAAATGTTTGTAATGGGATAAATATGGCTTAAGTAAATTTATGTGGAACGAACTTGATTGGAACTGTAATGTTTTTAGTGATGATAATAATATATTAACACTAAGGTGAGACTATAATTTATGGACAACCTTTGAGCGATGTTAAACTGATCTTGAGAGTTTTCAGGTAATAACATTGTAGGGGATTAGAATTATGATTTACAGTTAATGGTTAAGCTTAGGATTTAGATTTAGAGTTTTCATTAGGAACTGACATCAGTAATAATGCCAAAACTCTATTTAACTAAATGAATGAATGAATTTCGCGCCAAAATCCGTGACCTGTTTTCTTACACCTGATTGGTTCGTTCATAAATTATAGTCTCGCCAACACTAATAATAATAATAATAATAATAATAATAATAATAATAATAATAATAATAATAATAATAATAATAATAAGGACAGCATGATAATAAACGTGATTTCCAAAAACCAAAGATTTTTTGTTTAATTAACCTTTATAACTTTTTAGTTAACCGAGAGCAATTCCACTTTTTTGTGTTAATTTATATTTTATTGTGAAGGAGATACACTATGTGAATTATTAAGAAATGTACTCAACGATTTATTGAGAATTGACAGTCGTAGGTTAGAAAAAGGTTAAGACATATTAACACAAATTCCTGTTTTATTCCATTTAATCGATAGTGATCATATGTTGAATAGAAAGGATATAATACAATTGATTTTAGTCTATTCTATTTTTCTAAAAAGTCTTGAAATCATCTGTTTTAGTACTGCTTATACTCTTACTACCTCTACCATTACGGGATTTGAATCGAAACTGTATCTCTGTGCTAATATGGTATGTCAACTCGAACTGATGTACGTACGTACGAAGTCCTACGTTGTTACTGAATGACCTTTAAACTATTGATCCATCAACCAGTAATTTTAATGTCCAGCTTGAATCAATTGACAGTAATGCATAAAATCATGAGAATAAGAACCGGCGTTTCAGATGGAATATCCAAAGGTCTTTTTAATGAAGGACTATTTGATCATTAATCATTCTCGTAGATAGTGACTTGTAATGTAATGTGTTAATATAGGCATTGTTGAATAAATGTTAGTGTCGTTTTTAACCTGGAAGCACTGTACGGCCGTTTCGTCCGCGAGTGGGGTCGTCGATGCGCACTGTTGAGGAGTCCCAAGATGAGACGAAATGACCGTCCAATGCTTTCAGGTTTTCAATAGCGGTCTAACAACAATCGGTTCATGATCTCAATCAATAACTTAATAATCTCCACAACCATATACTGATAATTAACATGTGTTCACTAGTGACTAGCTTCGTGAGGGAATTCACGGAGTTCTAGTCAGAAGCCATGACCAGTGGAGTTATTCCGTGTCGAATAGAGACAGGTATCTACCTCAGTACAATGGAAGATGGTCGCACAACTTCATGAATTGGTTGAGATTAGACATTAATTAACATCGTTGAATGACGGTTCAGTAGTCTAGTAGGTTAGGCGTATTATTCAGCATAACACTTATATAGTCCATAAATGAATCTTCTTAAATTTATTAGAATTTTATCAAATAATTTTTGAGGATCTAAAATCTCTAACATCTCAATACTAGAACGAACTAGTTATTCAGTTCCTTTGGGTTTTCAATAATAATAATAATAATAATAATAATAATCTAGTTAGGATCAGTACGTAACTAAAATTATGAAAGACGAATTTGTCACTGTCATATTTATTGATCTTTGGTGTTATAGATTACCTTATTGTAATCAAACATATGACAATCACAACAGCAACAACAACAACAACAACAACAAAAAGAAATTCCTCTATAAAATGATTCTGATAATCACAAAAGAAATGATCAAATAAATTCAGAAATATACTTGTTTTATCATAATAATAAATAACTTACTTTAACATTAACTCGACCATTGAAATTTTCCATATCACCAAGTAATGCATGTAGTAAACTTGATTTACCTGAACCTACACTACCCATAATTGTTGTCAATTGACCTTCAGGGAATTGAATAGAAATACTATAAATAAAATATGTAAAAATAAACAAACAAAAATACATAGTTTATGTTTGAGTATAGAGTGGAGATAGAGAGGAGTGAATAAAGTAAAAGAAAAAAAAAGAAGATATCATTGTTAAAATGAACAAGGTTAATATTAGTGTTGAGTAGTTATTACTATTATTCACTAGTAAAATAGATATTTTAAAGTTATAAAGTTATTTTAAGATGTCTCTGCATTTCACTATTGGTGGATATATTATGATTTGAAACTAGAATATATAATGCTTCTAGCACGAGTATATTGTCTACTAAGCTGATGAATTCATGTAGACATTTACTCGTTACTGATTATCAGGACTTTATATGATTAGTCTGTTAGTGAATGTACAGCCATCGAAGATACATTAATACTGTCTAAAGTTGTAAGTGTACTTTATTATAATCACTTAGTAACGAGATATTTGCTCAACGTAACTATTTGCTAACAGAGACAGACTTGATATAGTCTCGAATTTAAAAAAAAAACCCAGAAAATAAACATCATTGTAACATAAAACATACTGCCCCCAAATGCCCTGGTATGTCCGAGAGTGAGGAGAGTCTGTTCTCCCTCTCCAAATGATCTCACATGGCCATGCGTATATAGTCCTACTTACTGCCTACTCGTGGCATTACTATTGTTTTCGAAATTAAGAGGAGAAAAAGCGAATGTCCAGCGATTTAACCGGTTTGATGAACACAAAGAGTTCACTTAGGGGAGTTGGAAAATCCTCATTCCAAACCAATGGTGTATGAACCAGTTATTGGCTTCCAATGAAACTGGATCTCCTTGTTGATTAGACCTTTAGGTCAAAGGCTTCGTGTGAAGCTTCCTAAGAAAACCACCTGCTTTAGTTTGGGCACCCGGGCAGTATTACAGCCCAAACACAAATCAAATGAAATTTGTATGATATATATGTATCCGGTTCCCCACTTGTACCAATATCTATGTGTTCAAATCAATCAATAAATAAAACACACTAGATAATAGTTTCATGATGATTATATCAACATTATACTATTTCACATTTAACCCCATAGATACATAATAACTGTATTATTCTGCTACAAAAATCTTTCTATTATGTAACCAATTAAATGGCTAATTATTCATTCATCATATGATATTTAATAAAAATATCTGATCTTATTTCAATAAAATAGAATTCACTACTTAAATATAAATAGTCAACTGTTGACAAATGAATTCATCATTAATGATTGACATAATAACTTAATCTGATTATCTTTATCATTTATTAAATAAAATTAGAGAAATTAGAATACAGATATAATTTAAAAATGAAGTCAGTCTGAAATAATATACTGTTGACTAATACTTAAAGAAGGTGTATTAATAATAATACATTATTGATTGTTAATATTCACTTATAATCATTCCACAAGAACCATTGATTGAATGATGATTACATAATATAAATTACTTTCACAACTGATTAATCATTAGGTGGTGATCATTGTCATGCTTGTCTAGTTCTTATTATTAGTACAGATCGAATGCGATTGACTATGTTACAATGTGGCCACCAGTCTAAGTGACTCGACACTGCGGGCACTATTGTGAGATTAGATGGTGGTTGGAGGTACTGTGAAGCTGGGTGACACGGGATCGAATGTGTCAGGGAGCACCAGTTCCCTCAAGATTACAGGTACACTATGCTGACGAGTGCCAAGTAGCACGAAACCCCAGTCCAAGGTTTCCTGTCGACTACCTTCAACCACCATCTAATAAATTAATTTCATTACAGTTTAGTTTTATTTATTTAGAATTAATTTAACTGACTGATTGTTTAAATCAATTAACATTGAATAAGGTATTAAAAGATTAAAAATGAATAATAAAGGTAATATCAGATGTCACATAGTTGATTAGTAATGATTGTACAATATCACGAATGAATTGATACAAGTAATTTAAACTATATTGGATACTATATCAACGATTGAAAGGTTAAGTATTTGTGTCGTCGCCTAAACGTTGTGGTTTCAGTCTTCTATATGATCATGAATGAGTAATTGTAAGAAATCACATGAGGGAACTATACAAAACTATAAAGTTCTCAATGGTTGTCTATAACGTCTGTGATGTACTAGTATATTATTTCTAATCTTCCTAAGCGATGATTTAACCTATTCTTATTACAATCTTGAGATTTTTTAGATTGTGATAAATAGTGAGTGAGAATGTACATAGCACCAAACAATAACACATCATAAACAATATCCTGAATTTTCAACATAAAAACTGAAATCTAGGTAAAAACTTTGTAATCTGCTAGTTTACTGAAATTAGAAATTTAGGAATTATCATAAACGGGTTTTGTGGTGATTTTGGTAATTTAATAGTTAAATTCATGAGTAACTCTAAGCTAGATCACTAAAGAAAACCTGGAAGTACTGGATAATCATTTCATCCTAGTATAGGATTCCTCAAAAGTGTATATTCAAGATCCCACAAGCAGGATTCAAACCCAACACCTTTAGTCTCGTATGTGCCCCCAAATGCCCTAATATGGCCAAGAGTGCAGAGAGTCCGCTCTCCCTCTCCAAATGACCTCACATGGCCACGCGTGTATAGCCTCTGCCAGCGAAGTCCTATTCACTGCATTCTCGCACTACGACTGTTGTTTACGAAAATGAGAGGACGAAAAGCGAATGTCCGGCGCTTCAACCGGATCCCAAATCAATGGTGCACATGGGCTGGCTCCAGTATCCTGAAGGAACAAATGGCGTATGAACTAATCGTTGGTCACCGACTACCATGGAACTGCATCTTTTTACAATGTTCCACTGCCTTGTGGGTCAGACATTCGGGTCAAAGGCTCGGGGTCTCGCTCCCTAAGAAAACCACTTGCTTCGATTTGGGCACCCGGTCAGTATCACAGCGCTCACACAAATCAATTGAGATTCGTGTGGCGCATATGTATTTGGTGCCTCTTTGTACCAATACCTATGTGTTAAAATAAATAAATAAATAAAAAAGTCTCATATGCAAACATTTAATCTCGAAACCACCGAGCCAACCGATATTCAACAGTGTTAATGTCTAACTTTAATCAATCCATAAAATAAATCAATAGTTCGTAATCCCACTAGGCAGGATTATGGATTCACATTACTGACGAGTCTTATATATTATTAGAACGAAACATCTATCTAGTACTTCTAAATTTTCTATGATAATCTAGCTTGAATTGATCAAGACTTGTTTACTATTACTTCATATATTCATATTGTAAATAAATATAAATATATTTATTTGAAAATTAAAACAAAACAAAAACAAAAAATAAAGTAAATAAACAATCATTCAATTTATATTAATTTCTTTCTTTTCACTACATTTAATTAGTATATATATATATATATATATATATATATATATATATATATATAGAGAGAGAGAGAGAGAGAGAGAGGGAGGGAGAGGGAGGGAGTGTATATATGTGTGTGTGTGTTTATGGTGGATTCATATTCTACATCACTAAACTAAAGTATTCAAAAGGGAATCAAGTTAAAATATCCTTTTCTTATTTATAATAGAAGGTCATATAATTTTATTAAATAGAATAATTATTCAATTAAAATAAATAACTTGAATCAATTTAATTAACTATTATATATAGTATGTTTAATCTTTTATTTATTTATTTATTTGTTGACTAATGAATTGTGAATAAGTTAGAACAATAATAATGACAACAACAACAACAAGGAAAAAAAAGGAAAACAGAAAAAAAGAAAACAATATTGAGAGTACAAATATATTCTTCGAGAAAGATCTAATTTCAGGAAATAAAGATAAATAATAACAATAATGTACTTTATGGATAATATGATGCCGAAGAAGAATAATTGGTGAGACTATAATTTATAATTGAGGTCATGAACCGATTGATGTTAGACCACTAGGAGCATTGTACGGCCGTTTCGTCTTATTGTGGGACTCCTCAGCAATGAGCATCCACGATCCCGCTCGCGGGATTCGAACCCAGGGCCTTCAGACACGCGGTCGAACGCTTAACCTACTCGACCACCGAGCCGGCAACCAATGGTGTTAATGTCTAACCTCAACCAACTTTCGAGTGACTTTAGAAATACTTATGAAGAATATTCATAAATATACTAAAGTCAAATTAGGGTTATAAACCAGTGTAAAGAATCAAGATGAATATTTACAGTTGATAGTTAAGGTTAGAAATTAGATTTAAGGTTTTCATCAGGAACAGACATTAGCTATAATGACGAAAAATTCTATTTAGGCAAATAGATAAATTTTACGCCAAAATTCAAGTAGTGTTATCATAAATCTTATTGGTTCGTTCATAAATTATAGTCTAGCCCAAAAAGGAATACTGAATATTTCAGAGTTTAAGATAGTCGGTGGCAACACGAAAATATAAATAATATGACTTGAAAACGAAGTGACATTAGAAGATTATTTCATTCTAATTCTAGACGACTGTGTAGAGTATATTCATAATATAATTAAGGATTGTTTAACGAACTTTAAGCTTTTCAACGAGTATATTCCCGTTATAACAGTAAATTGGCATTCCATGTCTTACCATAGTCAACTTGTATACAAATGATTGAGTGTTTAAACTCGTACACACGCACAAAAATATTTTATATTTTTATAATTAAGAGTTTAAGTTATCCCGTTGTTGATATTCACAGTTGTTTTGGTTAGTGCTTATTGGTACAAGTGAGTCCAGTATGAACTACCTCCAAATAGCTATAATTCCAAAAACTTACTCAGATTATGGTTACAAGTGGAGTGTAGTGTGCATGTTTGATCTTATTTGGTACTTGTCCGCTAAATATACCCACATTCCACTGTATCGATTTGCATTGGAACTTCAAACCAGTACATTCAACTTCAAACGCCAAACACTGTTACTAAATCCAGATAGTCATTAACTTGTCCAGTCTATTAACCATAAACAATTTACGACTAACAGTTATGTTGAAGTGATCCATACAGGAACTATATGTATGCCGAAAAACACTGATTTAAACCCTTTCCTGTATATCAACAATGAGATAATTTTAAAAAATTATACACGGTGAGTCAGTTAGTAGCCAAACGGTCTTGTCAGGCTAGTGAATAATGTGATGTGCAATTGGGACGAACCACTGGGTTAGAGTCGCAACGTGAACGTCAACGCGCACCCATATACATTTAACTGACAAGTTTCAAGTAAAATGAAACGTGCATTCTGAATTCCATTGCTAAGTATAATCGATCTATTCTGAACAAAATAGTTCTTGTAAATCGAGAACGTCCGTCCTATTTTATGGCAGTGAAACATGGCTAGTAAGAGTAGGGGATATTCGTAGGTTACTAGTATTCGATCATAAATGTCTTCAAAGTATTACTCGTATATCCTGGGACCACTGAGTAATTAATGCAGTTGTTAGGAAATGGGTACTAGGTAAGGATGGCAAATTAATTGATGAAGTAGTGAAACTTCATCAGTTGAGATGGCTTGGGACATGTGTTACGTATGCCCAACCATCGACTGCCCCGACGAGCTATGTTTTGGGATGTAGGAGTATGTTGGAAGAAAACTAGGTGCGACCAGACCAAAACATGACACAAATTCATGAAGTCACTGACAAGTGGACTGAGCCATGTTGTTAGGTGTAGACTACCTGGTTGGGATCCGGGAGAAGATAGCAACCGATGGTTAAGAACCCTGAATGACTCGGCTCAAAATCGTTTGTAAAGGCGCAGTGGTGCATCCACTCTTTATGTTCTCCCAAATTCTTCATATTTCTATTTTTTCTCTTTCTAAATTTATTTCACTGAATTATACTCCTTGAATAACATCTTCAAATTCTAATCTTTCCAATTACTGTTTATACTATTACTACTTCTACCACTATGGGATCTGAATCGATAACTACATCTCTGTGCTAATGTGGTATGGCAACTCGAACTGATGTACTTACGTATGAAGTTCTACGTTGTTACTGACTGACTAAATCGTGAATACAAAGATCAAGTATAAAATCTGTCATCCAAATAATAATCTTGATAAAAAACAACAACAACAACAACATTCCAACTAATCACTCCATTTGAATGAAATAATCCTTTAAAAGTTTAACCTAATTTCATTGATAAGAAACAAAAAAATAGTAGTGAATGTATATATAATCCGACATAGATCAATTTAAATGAGTTCATCATAATATAAGACTAGACAAAAAGGGTATACATTCCATTATAATATCGATTCATGAATAAATAAAGGATCAACTATAGTGACAGAACTAATAATAATAGAAATTAATGGAAATTTAAAAGAATAATTATCACCTCATTAATAAACAAATAATAATAATAATAGTAGTATTATAATAACATTATCATTTTACGTCATTTATATAAACATTACTAATAATTATAAAAAAAAAGGATAATTTTAATGGTTGAAATCATGAATCAATTGAAGCTAGACTAGTGACTGGTTTCAAAAGATATATCCTGGAGTTCTAATAAGAAGCAGTGATCAGTGGAGTTCAACTGGGTCTGTTGTGAAATAGCAACTCACTGATGACAATGGTGGATACGTCATTGAATTTCATGGATTAGTTGAATTTAAACATTAACACCATTAGATACAGGGTTCAGTGATCTAGAGGTTAAGCGCTTCCATACGAGACTGATAGGTCTTATACTCGAATCTCGTGAGGTGGGATGGTGAATGCGCACATCTTAGGAGTCCCAAAATAGGATGAAACGGCCGTCCAGAGCGTTATATCCTAGCAAAGATTAAATTACGAGTAACTTCTGGAACCTATTAATGGACTAATATTATCTATATATATATTCTTATGGTATAACTATTCAGTAATTAGATCGTGTATATTTATATTCATCTTATTATAAGCTTCATTTTGAGCTATAGATTATTATTGTATGGTTTACTGTTCTTAAGTTATACTCAATTTATTAATAACTGTCTCCCACATTCACAGCCACTTTTTGGCTTTATTGTGTATAAATGTTATTTCCTATTTTATGGTGCGTTGCGGTTTGTTCGGCTGATATATAAACCTAGTATGTCTGAAATAAATGATTCATATAATGGAGGCTGTTGTTGGCATTCTGGACTCAACTGGACGGTCTAGGCAAGCAACGGACCAATAAGACGCTAGGCTGATCATATCGAACGAAGGTCATTGGTTTAGTACAGTACAAGGGTGAAAAAAGTCGTATTTTGATTGGCGAATAAATTACGTGATAACTAGCGGGCCATAAAGACACAACACAGTGCTTCCGGGATTTCCATGCTAGTCTAGCTTCAATTTACTCATGATCTCAACCATTACAATTACTATAGTGTCCACAAAACCCCTTTTAATACTAAAGAATGATAATGTTTTGTTTATTATAAATCTATTGTAGTCAATGAAATATATTCATACAATATTATAAAATGATCGAAATTAAACAGATAGTTTGTAATTTAAACTATGAAATAATGCTGAGAAAAAAAATCCGGTTGGATATATCATGAGGAAAGATATGGAGTGATTAGAAGGTAGACATAGTCTGATTTACCATGATATCTCATCATTCCATAAGTCATAACTCTAAGATATTCATTATAAAGATTATGTAAGTGATCCTTGGTATACACTGGTAAGAAATACAAAATAATTCTCCAGTATTGTCTAACTGTTATTTGCTATTAAGATGATCACAAATCGTGATGATTGTAATCTTCCGAATATAACAATTCTACCTGTATCTCTCTATATTCATGTAAAATTATTTGCCTACATTCAATCACATAAACTCAACAAATTACTTAGTTAAACAAACTAGATATTTAATAATAGAATTCAAGTTGAATTGAAGCTAGACCACCATGGAAAACCTAGAAGCACTGGATGATCGTTTCGTCCTAGTATGGGACTCCTCAGTAGTGAATATACACGACCCTGTAAGCGAAACTCGAATCTAGGACCTTTGGTGTTGCATGTGAACTAGATATTAGTGAAATGTTATTATTCAAAGAACATTATTAAAATATAAAAACAGGAGATTAACAGTAAGTAATAAATAAAATTCCCTGAAATAAAAAAAAACTAAGCCTCAATAATATTCACCTAGAAACCTTAACTAACATAAAGTACACACTGTTAATCAATGTATCAGTCCTAAGTAACATAGAACTTGGTACATATGTCCATTTGTTCAAATTGCTACATCAAATTAGTACAGGGAGATGAAATTAAGAAATCCTTTCGTTTAGTTTATATTTACTATAAACAATTTAAGTTCACAAAGTGTTATTTTTAGTCTCTTTGGACTGCGGTCTAAACAAGATATCGGAGCTATCATGTTCGAACTCTGTGTTCAATCGAAACAGCAAGTTTTATTAACTAGGGACCCAAAATCTCGTGTCGCTGACATCTACCACCTCTCTGAAACTTCTATACACGGTCCAAACATGATAATTCACTTGAACTCGCCTAGTTAGTGTGGAGAACTGGTACAATTTATCCATCCTATATCGAAGGAATTGACTACTAATTCTCATGGACTAGCTAGTGTAAATATAACATTTAGTTAAAAATCGCTTGTCGCTTGTCTGCTGTCCGACTAAATGGGACAGTAACAACTCGAAAAGATATGAATGCAAGCCATTGCCTCTTGCTGCCGTCTCTCCTTACACTCTCGTACACTGTAGCTCGTAAAAAGGAAAAAGTTTGGTTTCATTCATACAATCGATAATAACAATTCTTAGTCCTTGTCATTAATGTGTTTTGCTATATTCTTTGTTGTATAATGGTCTGTTATTTCCCCTCTAACAGAAATATATATATATATATATATATATATATATATATATATATCATCGTATATTAACCTTGTACCTTGAAGCTTCATTTAACAGACTGATGGCTATCATAATAGACTGACTACAGATAGGGAACGTACGAAACAACCAGTGATCAGACATATAACTAATGGCCCGTATTTCCAACTCGTGATATAATGAGAAAATCATAAGTTATTATGGGTGATGTTTTCAAGCAGGTATTTGTTGAAATAATGTTTATAGCTTAGAAATATACTAAGGTTAACAGAATATAAACTATGATATCGAATCAGTAAATTTCAAAAACTATATAAATTACTTTGTTAAAGTCGGTTCTTCGTCTGGATCCCAACCAAATACTCCACGTTCAACTACTGCAGCTATACCAGGTGTATCCTCTTTTGAATAAGATTCCATATCAAGTTCTGTATGAGCCAAAAATTTAGTCAAACGACCAATAGAAACATAACACTAAAAGAATACAAAAAAAAAACATTTTTGTAAATAACAATTTGAAAAAATATATATTTGAATGATTGTTGAGTGTGTTTTGGTACCGACGAGTAAATGACATATACAATGAAGAAGTTACTCATATACAAAATCAGACAACATTCATTCATCCATTCACAATAGTGTTATATAATAATATTACAGTTTCACAAGTAACCACTAAATGATTAGAAGAAGAATCAGTTAATTATAATAATCGAAGACCTATCTTACATTAAAATCGATTAAAGAGACATATTTGAAATCTGTATAGAAATTTCAATATTTTACGCCTGTGTTGAAGTGAACCCTAAGACAGAGCCTTGTTGAAAGTGAAATCTTCATTTTGAACAAAGTCAAATACTACTTAAAAGTATCTACCTAGGCTGTCCCCGAATGCCCTGGTACGGCCAAGAGTGAAGAGAGTCCACTCTCCCTCTCCAAATGCTCTCACATGGTCACGCGTGTATAGCCTCTGCCAAGGAAGTCCTACTCACTGCATTCTCGCACTACGAGTGTTGTTTACGAAAATGAGAGGACGAAAAGCGAATTTCCGGCGCTTTAACCGGATCCAAAACCAATCGTGGACATGGGCTGGCTCCAGTATCCTGAGGGGACAAATGGCGTATGAACTAATCGTTGGTCACCGGCTCCCATGGGACTGCATCTCCTCACTATGCTTCACTACTTTGTGGATCAGATCTTCAGGTCGAGTGCTCGGGGTGTGTTCCCCTAAGAAAATCACCTTCTTCGGTTTGGGCACCCGGTCAGTATCACAGCCCTCACACATATCAATTGAAATTTGTGTGGCGTATATGTATTTGGTGCCTCTTTCTATCTATATGTTCCATATAAATCTATCGATATGTATGAGGGCTGAAATATTATCCACGGTACCCAAACCGAAGAAGGTTGTTTTACCTAGTCTTATTTGATAGTTGTAGTAATAAAAATAGAAATTCTATATATATATACGTGTATATGATCTGTCCAAATTCTAGTTTCTAAGATGAATTCACTTATTATTGATAAGTTGAATAGACAAATGCATAAATAAACATAATGATAAGAAAACTTAGAATAAAATAAAGATAATCCTGTTCTTTATGTCCAAAAATGCGCCTGTTTTTTTTTTCATTCTCTCCTTTCACTGTCATGTTATAAATTAAATTATACAAATGACTATTAGAGTAAAAAGAAAATATACATGTAAATGAGTGTAGTGAATTGTTACTATGCTAATATGACCAATATTGTTTTGTTTTTCTTTTTTTGTTTTTTTTTTGTTGGTAAGATTATGCAAAATAATAATCAGTAATCAGTAAAATAAATGAATATGAACCTATAGAATTTAATTCCTATTTCTAGTATATGAATACTTATTGGTGAAAAACTGTCGAATTATGAAAGAATAACTGTCATGTATATCTTAGTTTGTAATGGTTTATTGATAGTTGTGTTTGTGATATAGTTGTCCAAAATAATAAATAGGATTTAATTATTTAACTTTCGTGATTAAGATCATGAAGCGATTGATGTTAGACCACCGTTGGAAACCTGGAAGGATTGGACGGCTATTTTGTCATATTGTGGGACTAATCAGCAGTGAGTATCCCGCTCGTGGGATTGGAACCCATGGCCTTCAGTTTTGCGTGCGAACGCTTAACATACTAGACCACTGAGTTGGCCGGCATCCAATGGTGTTAATGTTTAACTTCAACCAATCCACGAAGTTGTGCAACCATCTTCCATTGTACTGAGGTAGATACCTGTCTCTACCCGACACGGATTAGCTCCACTGGTTACAGCTTCTCACTAGAACTCCGAGAATTTTCTCACCAAGCTAGTGAATTTTTATTGGATTGAAATCTAGTAATTTATATTACTTTTTAATTTTCAGGTTTTAAATAAATATAATCAAACAAGTATGAGATGACTTTCTAAATTAGAATATTTACATATTGTTATCACTTTATGATAAAACTTGTTTACAAATTATGCAAACCTTTAAAAAAACCTAAATGGCTGAGAGTGAGGAGAGTCAGCTCTCCGTCTCCAAATGCTCCTACATGGCCACATGTATACAACCATTGATAGGGAAGTCCTAATCACTGCCTTCAAGTGGTGGTGTTGTTTACGAAATTGAAAGGACGAAAAGCGAATGTTCGGCGATGTAACCGGACTGGTGGATATGAAGGTTCTATGTAGGGGAGTTGAAAACTGTTATTCCAAACCGATGGTGCATATGTGCTCCAATATCCTAAGGAAACATATGGCGTATGAACCGATCGTTGGTCGCCAGCTATCATGGGACTGTATCTTCTAACGTTGCTTCATTGTCTTGTGGATTAGACCTTTAGGTTAAAGGCTTTGGGTTTTGTCCTCTAATAAAACCATCTAATTCGATTTGCGCACACGAATATTATCCCAGCCTTTACACAAATCGAATGATTTATATGGCGCATATCTATCTGATGCCTGCTTGTAAGTACTTACTTACGCCTGTTACCCCTCGTCGAAGAGCATAAGCTACCAACCAGAACTCTCCATCCAACCCTGTACTGAGCAATCTTTTTCAGCTCTTTTCAGTTATCATATATTTACTATATTTAACATTATTTATAGATAACACTTGTACTATACTCAATATTTAGTTATATTGTTTGATAGGTAGTAATAATAAATCAATTGATTCAACTGAAATAGACTTATCAGAGAGTAAATATGAGATCATTTAATCATTAAATGAAACTTACTTGTGCTAAATTACTTATAATCATTGGAAACATAAATAATGGAAAACGAAGTATATTGAATAAAGATAATGAAACAAAAGCTTTTTGTGCATCTAATATATTCTTATCTGATGTTAATATATATACACCAAAACTGGAAATAGCAACCTAACAACAAAAAAAATAAATAAATAAAAAATAAATATAAATAAAATAATATTCTACAATATAAAAGAAATAAGATAACTAAGAAATTAATAAGTTAATTTAGTATATAATAGGTAGTCAGTTAGCTTAAAACGTAGGACCAGTTCAAGTTGCCATTACCTCATTAGTACAACAAGATGAACACTGAATTTATAGAAGAAGTTACTTCAGTGGTAGTAATATATAAAAGAAGGACTGTGTATAAGGATATAGTACAGGAAGAATGAATTAGTTCGAAGAAAGAAAGATATGAAGCGATTTTAATCTTATAGTTTAAGGGAAGACAAAGAGTGTATACACCGACACCATTGTGATCTATTATGAGCCATATCACCCAGAGTCTCTAACTATTGGTTACAATAGTCACGCAGACCCCAACCAAGTAGTCAGTATCTGCCAACATGGCTAAGATTAGAAGTTAGTAACTTCAAGGACTGATGCCACGTTTAAGTTTCACCACCCGTTGCTCTCTTCCAACTATCCCCAACACTAGTCAGCATTGTGCGCCGTGGTCAATCAGTGTTTAGGGATATGTAACAAGTGGTTCAACCACCTTAATCGATGAAGATTCACAACCTCATCAACTGATTTACCATCAATGAAATGGAATGAATTGATAAAGACGGAAAGAAAATGCACTTGGTATTTCTAATAAATAATACCGACAAATGCAATATCGACATCACTAACCCTCTACCCTTTAAGATACTCTATATTGTATTTACTTGTCTTAGCTTTATTTACATTCATTGTGAAAAAAATATCTATGAAAGCATTCAAGATTCAGATACCTTAGGTAATTAGTCGATTCTTAATTACATATGTTTCGCTGAAATCGTATAGCATTGATGACATTTTCTAAATCCATGTGGTCCACAAAACACTATATAATTCCCCCGGAGTTTTCAAAGCCTTCACGGAAACACCTGATCCACATAAATAAACCTGTTTCCATGTATATTATCTTTAGAAAATGTTCTGATAGGTTCATGAATTTCCGAAAACGTTTTATCAAAACTTAATCAAAGATTTATTGTAACACTGCTCATAATACTTATTGTGAATAGATTATGTAAACAAAACGATAAATTAAATTCTTAAATATATATAAAGAATTTATTATTCAGTTCATAAACTATGTGATTTATGGTACCCGTAATATAGATGATAATATCAATAAATCAATTGGATATAAGCATGAATTGTTTTAGTAAATTTACTTTAGATGAGAACTACTTTTCATGATTAAATTTTAATTATAAATTATTCTTAGATTATAAGCAAAGATGGATAGTAGCTAACAGTGGTATCTAAGACGCGCGTTTCGTTCTATTCGGGACTCATCAGCTGGATGTACTGCATCGCAGTAGTTTAGTGGATAACGCGATGGCAGTTGAAGCGAATGGTACAGAGTTCAAGGTCCAGAGTGAATATCAAAGCGAAAGAATTCGCTAAGATTTTACAAATGCATTCATTCTCTTTAATGTCTCACATTAACTTGGCGCCCAAAGACTGTGAAATTACTCGATCAAATTTAGACGAAAGTTCTTATGCATTAAGTTTACTTTCAGCTAAGATACAAAACGAGTGTTTCATAAATGATCTTGTTACATCCCGAAGAGAATAATGAATGGTAACCGTCGGAATCTACTTATGGACTTATATTATATCTATATTTTTATCGTATAATTGTTAAGTAAGTAAACTATTCATATTCGTGTTCCTTATATCACAAGATTTATTTTGACTTATAGACTATATTATTGTACGGTTTACCATTCCTAAGTTATGCCCAGTATATTAATTACAGTCTCCTATAATCACAGCCACATTTAGTTAAATCTTGTACAAATGTTCACTTGTTGTTGTTTTACTTGTATCTTCCCATTGTTATTTAGAACTGCAATTGATCAGTCTCATGTTGGCATATATGCAACTTGTGCGGAATAGCCTCGATATAGCCTTATTGTTTCCTATTTTATGGTACGATGTGGTCTGTTTGATTGGTATATAAACCCAGTATGTTTGAAATATGATGATCCATATTGCAGAGGCTGAGATTGGTATTGTAAACTTAACAGACATGGTTAGGTGGGAAGCAGGACCGATAAGTACTCTAGAGACTGCTGGTACTTGTTTTATGCGTCGTCATTGTTCCTGTCGATAAGCCACTATTCTCTAATTGGCAGTCAGTCAGTCAGTCAGCTGCAACGTAGGACCAGGTACGTATATGCATCGGTCCAAGTTGCCATACCACATTAGCACAACAAGATGAACACCGGATTCATAGAAGTAGTTAATTCAGTGGTGGTAATACATAGAAGAAAGAGTGTGTATAAGGAGATAGTACAGGAAGATAGAATTACTTCCTAGAAAGAAAGATTTGAAGTGATTTTAATCTCTTAGTTTAAAGGAAGACAGAGAATGTAAACACCGACGCCATTGTGATTGATTCTGAGCCATGTCACCAAGAGTCTCCAACCATTGGTTATGATAGTCACGCGGACCCCAACCAGGCAGTCTGCATCTACGAACATGGCTCAGGCCAGAAGTTAGTGACTTCAAGCACTGATGCCACGTTTTGGTTTGGCCATCCCTAACTTTCTTCCAACCGTCCCCAACACCGGTTAGCATTGCGCGTCGTGGTAATTGGTGTTCAGGCATACGCAACACGTGGCCCAACTATCTCAATCGATGAATATTCGTAACCTCATCAACTGATTTACCATCATTCGCTAATACCTTGCGGCGTCTAACCTCACTATTACTTACCCGGTGATCCCAGCAGATACCCGCAATATTTCTAAGGCACCTGTGGTCAAATACTAGTAACTTACGAATATCTTCTACTCTTAAAGGCCATGTTTCGCAGCCGTATAATAGAACGGAACGAACTGCCGCGCAGTATACTCGTCCCTTCATTGATAGACGGATATCTCGCCTTCGCCATAGATGACGTAAGTTGGCAAAGGCCAAACGAGCTTTTCGAATCCGTGCTGAGATTTCGTCAGACACCAACCCATTAGGGTGATATCATTACATTATTACATTAATAGGACATAGGTCACAAGTTATAACCAGATCTGGGAGTAAACACAACTACAGTTACTTGTTTAACAAAATGTTAAGAATTATCAAATAATTTGTTACAAATACTCTAATCATAATGATACAGTCTATTCGAAGAACATAACTGTTATAAATGATAAAAATGATAATAAACAATGTAATCAAACAACTTACAAAAAATGGTGTACAATGCCATAAAAATGATAACGATTGAAGATATGTGAATTTTCGTAAATATTTAACTTCTTGATCTCTAATAAGACCAATTTCTTTTATAAATGATGGTTCCCATGCATAAAGTTTTAATACCTTTAAAATGGAAATAATCAATAACAGCAACACCTTGTTAAAAGTATTAAGAACAAAATAAAATCGATAATCATCTTCAATCTTCGTAAATTCAGTGTGTTTTCTAAGCTATCAGAATGAAACGAACTTCCACAACGCTAACAATATTTGGAAAATATTATTTATGCAAAAAAATTCAACATTATAAAATTGTTTTCTGAAATTGATTAACATTTAGCAGATAACTAACTGAATGAGATCATAACGTTCAACATTCAAGTTTTACCAACAATAAAATACAGGAGATATCAAAGACCTACAATGAAGTTTTCTATACATGGCAGTAGAATATTTCTAGTTAAATTGAGATCCTAGAATAGGATTTGAAGAGTTCCTGAAAAATCTATTATGATAGTTATAGATTATATTTATCAGGCATATAAATGAAACTCGAAATAATGAAATCAATGGAGGTCAGTTAGATTGACGCGCTAACCGAGACCTTTGAATTCAAGTATGCCTTACTGACATTCTACACAGGCGACTAACCATAACTTTCAAGCCAACCTAGGAATTTGGTGGGATATCGAACGCCCATGAGAAAGAAGCGATACTGCGCGTTTAAAAGTTATCTTCGAAGGGTCTCTTGTATTAAGGTTATAAGCACAGGAAGTCGGTATACATAAAAAACAATTCATAACTTCAGTGACCCTCTAAACGCTACTCAGTGAATCTGTTATTCAACAGTTTTCAGGACTAATGGAAAACATGGAACAAAAACGGAACAAAGCGCCACCACAAATGTCGAAGATTGTTAATTTTATGAAACGAAATAACATATTCATGAAAATAAACTTACTCGTATACCATTCATCAGTTCGTTAATAAACTTTATTCGACTATCTGCACATGTAGACTTCTTCTCCTAAATAAATATTATGATGAAAGAAAATTATTAGAAATAAAAAATTCAAAGAAACGACGAATTTTTTTCAACATTGAATGCATTCACAGCATGCATCCGTAAGTTTCCTCATTTCTAATGACGTTATAAGCTGGAGTGTAACTTAGAGTGATACATACACATACCGCGTCCTAAGTTGAATATAACAGATAACTGAGTAACTGTAATAGGAGTCAGTACTTTTGATGGGGAATTTTAGGCAACACGATTCTCAAGCTGACGAAGATTGGACACCACACTGTGCAGAAAGCTAGTTCAAAAACTTATTCAGTAACAATTGTCAGTTATGGTCTCTAATCGAATTGTCGTATTGGGAAATACTAATTCGAATGTTACTTCAATAGTTGGATAAGATAATTAACATGTAAACTATGGTTGAGAAATCTTGAAGCATAAAGTTTATGTTCTAGGAACTAGTTAAAATGTTAACCTTGATGTTCTGAACCATCTGAATACTATCGTAAGTATTTCTAAAAGACAAAAGTTTGGCATCTCCACTGATCACGGATTTTTCACAATTGGTTAAAAACAATCGAAATAATTTTAAGAAACCATTTGATGAGACTTATGTCGTCTTGCGATTGACATCAACCAACCGAATCTATGAACTGTTTCTCTTAATGGTAGAAGAAATACTAGTTTGCTTGTTTATACTGATATAGTATTATCAATGTATCGAAATATTCAGATCGTGGCAGTGTAATCCACGGAGCTTATTTCTTACCAGTAAAGGACTCACAAGCTAGATGTACCAGATGCATCGGCACTCCAACAACCCAATACCTACCAATGAATACCAACGTATTATCCCGAAAGGTTCTGAGCTCAACTGGTTGCTGAGTTGTTTAGTAGACTCTGTGTATTTTTAGTTTCCCTTGATTTTACAACTAACCAATATTCAAATATCCTAATACTTATAACTGAATGATAAAACACTAAAGCATTTGCTCGGGATGCACAAGTGCCGATGGGGACTGCTAAAAATTTGATTTTGAATATCAGCTGTTGAATAGTACGAGAGATTTCGGTGAACAATTATTCTTACTTTAATACAATGACCTACTCAAAGACTTTGTAGTGTAACAATAATTGTTTGCTTAACAGTGATTGACCTCGAGACATTATAAACATTTCGATGAAAATTCATTACTGATGTCTAATTTTGGAAACGAGCATTGGATGATACCATCTTATATCATCAATTTATCCAGTCTGTAAATGCAGCCCCATAGATTATAAATGAATGATTAAACGATGAAGATGATAAACTTTATCCTAGGCGACAGTTATTTTACACTGGTTAGGGATTCCATAATAGAAAAACAAAACAGTCGTCCACTACTGCTTAGTTTTCAATCGTACTATCATTTGGTATTTGACCAATAACGAAGGCTTACATCAAATTTCACATCCTTCTTAGTTTGTTTAACAATGTTAATATAATGCTGATGGGCTTAAGGAGCCATATATGTTTCTGATGACTTCTTAATTAGATCTTTGTAATATATATTCAACTATTAGAGTTGGATTGAAACTTGATCACTGTTACAAATTTTTAATCTCTTTCACATTTAATATACATTTCACCCAAGTATGGTGAGTTGAAATGGCTCTCTTATTGGTAAAAGAAACCGATATTGTATAATGACGTAATTAGCCTACCGAACAAAATAAATTTTGTCCAATTATCAATATTTCTAGTCACTAAGTTATATATAGTATTAAGTAAATGAAGAGCCTTTACGGTATAAATTATTGCAACGTAAATGACGTAATAACCCTTGTTTTATGAAAAACACAAGCTGATAACAAACCGTATTGAACTTATTCCTGCTAAAAAACCTACTAAACAATAAATATATTCAATTTAATTGAACGAATGACGTAGAAACTGATTTTATTTGTGGGTTGTATTTGTCACAGATTAGTTTCTATTGAGGTACCATGGCAAATCAGGAGTCACTGAACAACTGTGGAATTCTAGACGCTTCATTAATGTGCACCCATACCATTTGTGACAGATACAGCCTGTAAATTAAACTAATATCCTAAAAATTTCTCCCACTTAACTACTGTAGTTACCGCACTGGTAACTCACTTAAAAATTTGCTTGAAGACCTACTTAAAATTTATGACAAGTGGAGATCAGAATGTCGAGAGTCAAACAATAGTAAAAAATAGACCTTGATGGCTGTCGCTCAATATCACTGATCGACTGAGGTTGTAATTGTAAAAGTGGGAGCCGACCCATTAGCTCTAATGGTCAAGCGTTTGCAGAGTGATGCAAAGTTCACGGGCACGATCCAAGGTGAGTACTGCTAAGGGATCCCATGCTCAAACAAAACAGTTGTGTCAGTGCTTCCTGGTATTCAATCTTACCTTAACTGAGATCAATCAATGAAGAAAACAACCTATAAAAGTTGCGTAGGTTGATAATTAATTGAAGTAGGACATAGAGCTGACGTCAATACAATTTTAAAAACATTTTATGGGTATTGTCAAGGGCGAAGTTTTAGACTTATAGTAGCCTTAGTTATTCATAAATTCAAATCCCCATCATGTATACATAACCAATTTGTCGTATTCCCGTCACATTCTTGTTCGGATAGTTTCAGTCTTCTAATGGTCTAGAGAACATCTTATTCTCTAAGACGGCCTGCTTGAATATCTGGGCTACTACTACTACTACTACTACTACTAATAATAATAATAATAATAATAATAATAATAATAATCCAGTAATTTATCCCTTCCTTTATTTACAATTGTTACTTTGTTTATTTAAACCCTGAAGAAGTTCAGACAAGTTTACTAGACGAAACGTTGGAATTATTTTTCTTTAATTTCAATCGCTAAGATTATTTCAGATATAATAATAACTACTCTATACTCGGTGCCCAATATTTTGTCCAACTATTCGTTCTAATCTTGATGAATATTCGTATGTACTTGTCAAGTATATTTGACCAGATTATTCAAAATGTACAGGCTAAATCAAATTCACCTACTCATTATTCTAACAAAATAAACCACTATTCAGATATAACATTCTAAAAAGGTTAGTTAAATAGTGCCCCCAAATGCTCTGGTACGGCAGAGAGTGAAGAGAGCCAGCTCTCGCTCTCTGAATGCTCTTACATGGCCACATCAATACAACCATTGACAGCGAAGTCCTAATCACTAACTTCTCGCGGCATTACAGTTGCTTACCAAATTGAGTGGACGAAAAGCGAATAACCGGTGATTTAACCGGTTTGATGGACATGGAGAATCTACCTAGGGGAATTGAAAAACCCTCATTCTAAATCAATGGTGTACGTAGGCTACAGGAACCTGAAGTAACAAATGACGTATGAACCTATTGTTGATCACCGGATACCATGGGATTGCATCTTCTAACGTTGCTTCACTGTCTTGTGGATTAGACCTTTAGGTCAAAGGCTTCGGGTGTAGTCCCCTAATAAAACCACCTAATTCAGTTTGCGTACACGGGTATTATCCCAGCCCTCATACAAGTCGAATGACTATATGTGGTGCATATCTATTTGGCACCTCCTTGTAACAATGTTTATATGTTCAAGAGGTATATCCTGGAGTTCTAGTGAGAAGTAGTTACCAGTGGAGTTCAACCAGGTCTGTTGTGAAATAGTAACTCACTGAAGACACTGGTGGATGTGTTGCTCAATTTCGTGGATTAGTTGAAGTTAGACATTAATACCGTTAGATGCCGGATGGCTCAGTGGTCTAGTGGTTAAGTGCTCGCGCGCGAGACTGATATATCCTGGGTTGGAATCTCGCAGGAGGCGAGGTCGTGGATGCGCGCTGCTAAGGAGTCCCATAATAGGACGAAACGGCCGTCCAGTGCTTCCAAGTTTTCCATGGTGGTCTAGCTTCAACTAACTCATGATCTTAACCATTGAAATAAATAATAAATAAAAATAATTAACTATTCAGTTAGTTGTAAAGCATATTAGGATGAATAATCCAAAAAAAACAAACAAGAAGATTGACCTTTTGTAACATAATTGTACTAACCAAAAATCATTTTAACCAGTATATTAAACCATAGTAGTTAGAAATGACAATTATGAATAAATACTGTCTCACTAACATTTAGTTATGTGAAAAAAAAAAAAATTAAAATGAATCGAAATACATTCATCATTTAGTATTTTAATTTTAAAAGAGTATTTCTTCAATTGACCTTTTTATCATGTACTGCTTCAGTTTGGACACCATGACAGTATCATAGCCCAAACATAATTGATGTGACGACTTGTGTAGTACATATATATGCGGTACCCCTTTGTACCAATATTTATGTGTTCAAATAAATAAATAAATAAATTTATCATGTGGGACAAAAAATACATTAACTGATTAACGCTTATTAGTGATGATCATTCATTCATTCATTCATTCACTAAATATGTTAGGTTATATATGTGAGGTGACATTAGGTAGACTAATCATTACAACATGTACAATCATTGTATGATAATTTCATATGAATTGGGGTCAGGTTGACTAGGATGGAGAGAGAGTGTGTGTGTGTGTGTGAGAGAGAGAGAGAGAGGAACATTCTTTATACTCATATTTTATTTTTATTTTGTCAAGTTGAATAAATCGTATGATACAATAAATAAAACAACTGAGTTACACTTACAAATGAAAGAGATATTTTGTTAAAAAAAATGAAATCATGAATCGATTGAAGCTAGACCACCATTGAGAACTTTGAAGCAGTAAATGACCATCTCGCCCTGAGATACCTCACCAGTGCAGATCAACAACCTTGCATGCAGGAAGTGAACTGAACTCAAACGCTTAAACTTTAGACAACTGAGTCAGTATTCAACGGTATGAATGTCTAACCTCAATCAATCTACGAGTTTATGTAGAGTTGTGAGTGTTAAGAAATCCTATATTAAATTGAAGATTATTTGGTCTCAGTTTTTAATGTGAAACATTCTAAATTTATAATCACCACAACACCATACAATACAGAAAAAATAGCAAAAATGGGTCCAGTAGGATCAAACAATAGCCATGTATTAAATACAAACTGGTTTTGTTGCTACTTTAACATCATCAAATGAGTTATATTTAATCAACTTACTTGAAAGATTTTTGATCGACGGGCCACTAAAACATTGATTGGTAAAAGTAACAGTAGAACACCGACACCAGCCAATACAGAAGGCCCTAATTCTCTCCATAGAAGTATCATAGCAATTGTAATTTGAAATGGTCCAGACCATAGAATGTTTATAAATGGCATTAATTGAACAAATTGTTGTGCATCAGATGACATTAAATTCATAATCTGTCCAGTAGTCGATTGATACCTAGCTTTATTACTTAATCGTAGACTCTATAAAAGAATAGGAAAGAATTTTCAATATGAAATTTCTCTTACACTCCAAATTAGCCATAGTCAGAAAACTATCGAAAACTCTGAGATGCAAGTACATCCAGATGACGAGTCCCAAATAGGACGAAACGTGCGTCAAACTGGATTCCACTGCTAGACACTATCCATGTTTGCTTAGAATGCTAGTAAATTAAGGCAATATCGAAGCAATACGCAAAGTATTCACATATGCCAATAACAGACTGATCAATTTCAGTCCTAAACATCAATAGGAAGATACAAGTAAAACAATACCAAGTGAATTATCATTGAGAATTTCATGAATTTGCAATAAACCAGTATGTATGAAAAATTTGAGTAAGTGTACATGACTTGACTGTGATTAGACGCTTGACTTCGCTATGTATGGAAACCTTGAATTCGATTCCTAGTTGGAAAGAGAATCTCAAACATTGAAGATTTTAATAATAGAGCTAATCACTTCATATAGTTGATGAATATTAACTTACTTTCCTGTATACAGCTGCAGTAATTGCTGTTTTAATATTCATTCCAAGTTTGAATACAATATGAAAGTAACTTTGTAATATTAATGATTGTACAGATGTATCAATGAATATTGCTATAGCGTATAAATAACCATGCCACATTGGTTCTGATTGAGTATTTTGTAGAAAATTCAATAATAACCTATAAAACATTTTAAAGAAAAAAATAGTAATAATCATCGGGAAAAGACTAAATCTATGTAAATAATTTATTGTCAATCTGTGAAGGAAGACAAAAACAAATGGGATGAAACAAATGCACTTCAATAACTAGAATTGGATGTTAGGCTGGTTGATAGGCTATCAATAGGACGTTGATGGTCTAACTTTTGTGCCAGTTACCAGTTGCCACTTGTGAGCGTGACAAACTTACATCACCCATTTTTAAGTTATAAAGACCCAATCATTCAATTGTTTAAAATGGTTCCATAGCTCTTAAACGGTGAAAATATTTTTTACTGTCTAGTTGTAAATAACACAAAATCATAGGAGTTATTAAAAGAGAGAGAAAGAAAGCCAAAGTAGTTTAACCAGCTCTAACTACTACCATGTCAAGAAAGTTTAAAGTATCTTAAACAGTCATCCTGCTGATAACTAATAAAGAATGAAGCCGAACCCAAGTTTCCATCAGTACTAGAGAAGTATGGTGAATATGGATAGCACAAATAACATCTAGCTACGAACATTAATCACCAACTGATTGAATATGAGCATAAGAAACTGTGTGTTTTACACAGAAGAGTGATATTATTTGTGATTCCTCTCTCGTTTAACACATTTCTTATCGATTAGAACTTCAGTTATGTAGTAACAATTCTTATTACAAACCGAATTTACATATAGGACTAATAAATGGACCCTTAATAGTATGAAGACTATCACTTAACATAACATCGAACTCGTGACTCTAACCATTTTGTGATGAATAAATTGTTTCTGATCCATGAAGATCAGATTTAACGTTTTTGCATTATTTTGTTTAAATGAAGCTCAAAACTAATGTCAATCAGTCAGTTACAACGTAGGACCAGTGTCATATATGCATCGGTCCAAGTTGCCATACTTTATTAGCACAGCAAAACGAACATCGAATTCATAGAAGCAGTTAACTCAATGATATAATATATAAAAGAAAGATTTTATGTAATGATATAGTACAGGAAAAAAGAATTAGTTCGTGGAAACTTTAAGGAAAGATAGAGTGTATACACCGATGTTATTGTGATCGATTTAGAGCCCGACCGTTGTTGCTACCTAGACGTGATGGTCGGGCTTACCTATCGTGATGAACCAATCGAGCTACACAGGCTGGAACAATCGTTTTCCAAGGTCCTACCAAGTCAGACAGATAGGTAGAAGAACGGTAAAACTAAAAGCAGCAAACCCGAGGTCGTACTGCTAACTGTACAGAGGTGTGACGGCAGTAAGGTGTTTCCTTCAGACAACCAGCATAACAGCGATGCTGCTGCATATCCGTCTCCGCCAGTAAGGTTTCAACCAGTACGGAGCTAACACGAAAATTACTCACAAAAACGTTGTATGTGACAGACCTCAAGCAGTTGTCACGTTCTCAGGTCAGTAAGATCACCTCTAATTCAATTTCTTTATCAGATACCACCAGCAGATCCCTTCCGTTGTGTGGGTAACCGGGAAGTGATAACCGCCCTAATATCTCTACTAACAACACTCAAGACCACTGTATCAAAAACGAATAGTTTGAAATATATTTACCAGTTTATACAAACTGTCTACATGTAATGTGAAATATTTTCAGATATTATACAATGATTTGTCATTTCATATTTACATATCAAAACTAAATAATTAAATAATTTAATAGAATGAATAACCTCTATTAGTAGTTCAATTGATTTCAATTAGCAATAGTCAACGTCCATGATCAAGATATATTCAACAATAAATATTTAATACTGAATGGAAAAATGTTATGAATCTAATCTTTGAATGATTATGATCAATCAACTTAAATACTTATAATGATTATAAGATTATTTACAGAATTTGTTTTAATCTACCAGGATTTATTCTATTATTCTAAACTTTCCAACACTTACATCTAGATAATCCATGAAATGAGATTTATCATATCTAGGTCTTAACATAATACTTATCATATTCTATACTTAAATGTTATTTTTATTCATGTTTATTTTCAGTATTATTTTCACATAATCTGACAAATATTACCTTTAAAAGTGGGATGATACTTTATAAATATTGGTATAAAGAGGCACTGAATATATATGCGTCATATAAGTCAAATGATTTGTGTGTAGGCTATGATATTGCCTGGGTTCTCAAACCGAAACAGGTTTTCTTAAAAGGGCCACAACACGAGCCTTTGACCTAAATGTCTAATCCACAAGGCAGTGAAACAACGTAAAGAGATGCAGTTTCATGATAGCCCGTAACCAACGATAGGTTAATATGCTATTTGTTCCCTTAGGATCCTATAGGTTATGTGTATCATTGGTTTAGAAAATAAGCGATTTTCAACTCCCAAAGCTGAATTCTTCGTATCCACCAACTCAGTTAAGGGGTGTCAGAGATTTGCTTTTTGTCTTCTCAATTCCGTAAACAACAACAGTAATACCTCAAGAAGTTGGTGAGTACGAATTCCCTGACAGTGGCTATATAAGAGCATTTCAAGAAAGAGAGAGAGAGAGTCTGTGTGTGTGGGAGAGAGAGAGCTGACTCTCCCCACTCTTGGCTATACCAGAACATTTCAAAGCATTAGAATGATATAATCTAAATTAAATAAGTATACATGGATACAATTAATAATCTATTCCTAACCAAATATATAAATGCAAAATTATTCAATTTAATAATAATAAGAAAAAACAACACAAAAAGAAAAAACAACCATCCCCCCACCTCACTTACTTTAATAATAATGGATTAACAAATACTAATATATCATAGAAAAATTTTAAAAATGCTGACCATAATAATGTTTTACCATAAGTTTTAATTAATGCACATAATAAACTAAATTTTGTTTTATGAATACAAATAATAGAGAAACAATGACATAGATTTGATGATGATGATGATGATGATGATGATGATTTCATCATAATGGTAGTAGTTACATCATTTATTTCGATTGATTTATTTAATTCATCATCTGTAGTAACAATTTTTCCTTTAATTATATGATTATTTGATTGGTCATTATTAATTTCTTTCATAAAGAACTCGGACTATGAAAAAAAAACAAAATAAAACAAAACAAGGTTAATAACATACAGATTTGGTAATCAATAATAAATGGGAAAACATTTTTACATGTTTGGGCAAATGAATATAGTATTGTATTAAGATGAAACATTTATAGAATGATTGTTTGCACCAAAAAAGTGCTCCAGTACGGTCAAAGAGTGAGGGAGAGTCCGCTCACCCTCTCCAAATGCTCTCACATGGCCACGCGTATATAACCGCTACCAGGGAAGTCCTACTCAATTCCGTCTCGTGATGGGGGTATTGTTTACGAAATTGAGAGGACGGAAAGCAAATGTCCGGAGCTATAACCGGGTTGGTGTACATGGAGAGTCCACCTAGGGGAGTCGAAAAACCTTGATTCCAAACCAATGGAGTACGTGAGCGCCAGGATCCTGAGGGAACAAATGGCGTATGAATCAATCGTTCATCACCGGATACCATAGGACTAGATCTCCTGCAATGCTCCACTGCCTTGCGGATTAGACCTTTAGGTCGAGGGCTCCGGTTGTGGCCCTCTAAGAAAACCACCTGCTTTAGTTTGGGCACCCGGGCAGTATCACAACACTCACACAAACCAAATGAGATTTGTATGACGCATATGTATTTGGTGCCTCCTTGTGCCAGTATCCATGTGTTCAAATAATAATTTTATAAGAAATGTAAATAAGAACTTTCGTCTAAATTTGAACGAACAGTTTCACAATATTTGGGCTCTGAGTTAATGTGAGACATTAAAGAGGAAGAATGTATTTGTATATTTTTCTTGAAAAAGCTTGAACCTGATTGCCAGGCGAAACGTTGAATTTACTTCAAGTTCTTTCGCTAAGATTTTACAAATACATTCTTCCTCTTTAAGAAATGTAAATGTTTATAAGATATTTATTTATTAAGATAGATAGAATGTTGCTAGTAGTGTAATGCTGAATATACATTTCATCCAATTTGGACTCATCACTTTGGATTTCGAAACCAGTATCATTCATTTCGAACGTTCGATACAACGAACTAATGAGCTCTACATAGGACAAAACGTATGCCCTGAATTCTACAGCTAGCTACACATTCCATTGATGCAAAGTGATTTTATGAATAGTTCACATTATAAACTTATGCTAAACAACGAAAATATTACTCCTATAATAGTTGAATTTGTAAAATGTTTAAACTGAATATGATTAAATACAGTGCAGTTTGTGCTTTCAGAATTACGAATAACTGTCTAATATGAGTATCATCACTACAGAAGCTAACTAGCATTATAGAAGAATTCATAGATGAGTGCTAGTAACTATAACAGATTCATTAATAACAAAAGCTTCTAGAAGTATAATTTTTATAATGAAGATACAACCATCCATCAAGCTGGTCGACAATGATTAATCCAAGACGTAAGTGGAAAACGGATACACCTTTCTAGATAATGATAATCAAAAACGATGCTCAAGTTGATCACCTTATACCAATCAAATAATATGTCTTCATAAAATTTCTCCACTCTATATGTACCATCAAATTCATAATAGTTGGAAAGATTTTTACCATAACTAACAGTCATAACCTCTTATTTCATTTAATTAAAATATTGCAAACATATTTGTTATTAGCTAAATTCATTATCTTTGGTGCCACTGATACATCTATATACGATACAGTTTTACCTTAGTTACAAATTTGCTGTCCAAAGATATCGAGACTAAAAAGTATTTTGCTGTATTATTTGAAAAGTATTATATATGTTCTTGATTGTCTACTCGTATTACTCAGTGAAATATGTCGGTTAGTTCAAGTTATGTTAGTAGATTTTCGAACGTGTAACTCATTGATCAAAAATTGAATTTTCACTGGTTGAAATCATAAGTCAATTGAAGCTAAACCACCATGGAAAACCTGGAAGCACTGGATGACCGTTTTGTCCTAGTATGGGACTCCTCAGCAGTGCGCATCCACGATCCCGACCCCCGCAATATTCGAACTCAGGACCTGTCAGTCTCGCGCCAAGTGCTTAACCAACTAGACCACTGAGCCGGCATCCAATGGTGTTAATGTCTAACTTCAACCAATCCACGAAGTTGCGCCACCGTACACCATTGTCTTCAGTGAGCTGATATCTCACAACAGACCTGGTTGAACTCCACTAGTAACGGCTTTCCACTAGAACTCCAGGAGTATCTGTTGAAGTCAGTCACTAGGACGAAACGGCCGTCCAGTGCTTCCAGGTTTTCCATGGTAGTCTAGCTTCAATTGATTTCAACCAGTGAAATTTCAAAAAAATCTCCACACAACCCCTTCTGATAAAAATTGAATTGTTGCTAACGAATTACAAAGCAAACATTTACATACAATCATTTATTCTAAAATGCCTGAGATTATATAATGTGTCTTAACAACTAAATGAAGTAAAATGTGTGGGATCTAATGCAAAGCATTATTAATGGATACATCGTCGAGACTATAATTTATGGATGACCTTTGAACGAATCTTAAATGACCTTGAGAAATATTAGACAATCAGCAAACAGTCAGTATAGAGTAAAAATATATTATTACAAAACCAAAAAGATAAGGTGAATACACTTCTTTTACATGGCGCGCCGTGACCTTGGAATTCCTCAAACCCCTCTGATTGGCTCGCCCATAAATTATATTCTCGCTGATATATCTAATCTATTTTTAATCAAGTATATCAATTAGAAAAGTGATAATAAATTAATTAATATAATCTTATCAAGTAAAAATAACTATTAATTACATTTTCATTAATCGGTGTATAACTTGGAGAATCTGTATTTATCTCGGATAATTCCGGTATATATTCTGGTTTAGCACCAACATGTATACGTACGGATCGACGTGTTGGTTGATCTTTGGAAAGACCTAATGAAATAATAATAAATAAGTAGTATAGTATGTATGTAACAAGAAAATCATAACAACAATCTATTTACATAATCATATAAAAAAAGAATAGTGAGTAAAGTTAAAAGGATATAGGGGAACTCAATAATGAAGAACGGTCAAGAAAAAAAAAAGAATAAAGTGAGTGAACATAACAAGTAAATGCAGACTGTTTAATTGTATTTCTGACAATGACTAGTAATGGAATTTAACATGAGCAACTTATCCTCACTTAGAATGACATAGCTCAAAATCGTTTGTAATGACGCACAAGTGCATCCACTCTTTGTGTTCTCCCAAATTCTAATTTTCTGAATTCTTCATGTCCCCTGTTTTTTCTCTTCCCAAATTTATTTCACTGGATTATACTCCTTGAATAAGATCTTCGAACCCTAATCCTTCCGATTACTGTGTATATTTTTATTACCTCTACCACTATGGGATTTGTGTCGACAATTGTATCTCTGTGTTAATGTAGTACGAAGTTCTACGTCGTTACTAACTAACTGAGAATCTTCAGGGCCAAAGGAGAAAAGAAAGACCAAATGACACATTAAGCCGAGAAATGGAGACAGACATGAATGAGGAATGAACAACAATTGAATAGAACTAGATAAAAGGCCCAGGACAGAGTGGGTTGAAGAATGCTTGTTGGCGGCCTATGCTTCATTGGGAGTAACAAGCTTAAGTAATTAAGTAACTCATTTTATTGAGAAAATGATTGAAAGTGAATGCATCTGTCGTATTGAGAATTTTCAGTGGTGGTCTAACATCAATCGGTTCATGTTCTCAATCAATAAATTAATAATCTCCACAACCCTATACTGATAATTACCATGTGTTCACTAGTGACTAGCTTCATAACGGAATTCTCAGAGTTCTAGTGAGGAGCCGTGACCAGTGGGTAGAGACAGATATCTACTTCAGCACAATGGAAGATAGTCACGCAATTTCATGGTTGGTTGAAGTTAGACATTAACACCATTGGATGCCGGTCAGTTCAGTGGTCTAGTAGGTTAAGCGTTCGCACACAAGATTGAAGACCCTGGGTTCAAATCCCACGAGGCGGGATCCTTGATGTGCACTTCTGAGGAGTCCCTCAACAACACAAAACGACTGTCCAGTGCTTCCAGGTTTTCAATGGTGGTCTAACATCAATCAAATCATGATTTCAATCAATAACTTAATAATCTCCCCAACCCTTAACTGATAAATATCGAATAATTTCACATATTTAAAAACCTACTGTGTTTTACGCTATGTAAATCTATAAAAGTTTGTTAGTTAATATTTAAAAAAAAAAAAACAATTACTTGAAGTTTTCTGTAAAAACTCAAAAAGTAAGGGAATGGAAAAACACGAAGAAATACAACAGTCATGTATATACACGAAAGACTAAACAACAAATCATATCCTGAGATAGTCATTGTGTTAAAATAAAATATGTTATAGTAACTAAAAGAAAGAATATAAGTAGAGAATAAAGTGAGATAAAGTAGACAGATGGACGATAAATAAACCTGAAAGGAAGGCGAAAAACGAGTTGACAGAGGATACAACTTTTATCAATTTCAGTTCAATACAAAAAAAAACGGAACTATCCAATTCGATGGACAATAAATCCATATATATAACAGAGACAATTCTTTGCTTCATTACACATAAAGGTAATTTAGTCGAGACGTACAAAATGAATAGATAAGAGTTAAGAAAATATTTACAATCCATATTATAATTTTAACGGAAAATTTTTTAATTTTGTGTTTATTCTTTTGCTTTTCACAATAACAATAATCATAATAATAATAAGAAGAAGACCGATAGGTCCTGAGTTCGAATCTCGCGAGGTGGGATCGTGGATGCGCACTACTACTGAGGAGTCCCACGATAGGACAAAACGGCCGTCCAGTGCTTCCAGGTTATTCGTGGTGGTCTAATTTCAAGAGATTCATGATCTCAACTATTGGAATTACTATGATATTCATCACAAAAACCCCTTCTGATATTAATAAAAATATGCTGACTGGTGATTGGTTTCAAGAAGCATGTGCACCATTGGTTTGGGAATCAGGGTTTTCCAACTCCTCTAGGTGGACTCTCCATGTCCACCAATTCAGTTAAATCACCGGATATTCACTTTTCGTCTACTCAATTTCATAAACATCAGTAATGCCGCGAGAAGTTAGTGAGTAGGACTTCCCTGACATTGGCTGTATACGAGTGGCAATGTGAGAGCATTTCGAGAGAGCTGACTCTTTCCACTCTCGGCCGTACCAGGACATTTGGTGACATACTAGAATGAGAATATATTTAAACTTTATACAGATTGTGACAAATTGTAAACAAGCAATACACTCTACTTTCATTTACTACACTCAATTAAAGTTTCGATTATTTACAATTGAAATAAACAAACATAAAATATGATAGATATATTTGGAAAAAATGAAGTAAACTTTATCATATAAGGTATATATATATATATATATATACATATATAAGGTATTCTTCCTTCCTCTTTTTCTCTCCCTCTCTCTGTGTGTATGTGTGTGTCTCATTAAACCAAATTAAAGAAAATAATATTAAAATTAATTACCTCTAATAGTACTGGATGGTAAATCATGATTTGTTGAATCCATTTGATTATCAATTGATTGTAATGATTCATTTTGATGAGTTTTAGGGTTTAAATTAGTTTCTGGATGGATATTATTATTATTGTTATTATTATTATTATTTTGAAGTGATGTTTTATCATTATTCAATAAAGCAATACCTTCACTAGCTCTTCTTATAATCATATCATCTGGATAGGTATTTGTTAAACCAGATTTATATAAATGTTTATTATGTTGTGGAATACCAAAGCCAAGTATACTTTGTGCTGATCTACGTCGAAATTCACTATCTAATGAATCATTAGTAACATGATGAATACTATTTCCCATAGAAGCACGACGTTTTTCACTGTTATTTTTTTTTTTGAAGAAGAGAAAAAAGATATTAAAGAAAAGTAAACATAATACAATGTAATGAATAAACGGCATTAGCATTGTGTTTTTTACTAGGTATGATTAACCTGCCCGAAATCACGTGATTTTCCCTCCCTTCCCCCCTCCATCCCCCCCTTAAAAGATAATTAGTAATTCAAGTGTTATTAGTTTCAAATTAAAACATCACATAGAGAAGTGGTGAGATGAAAGGGATAAAAGTGTTCAAAATCCTTTCAAAAGGTAACTTTCAAAAAAGTAGAATTTCTTAGAAATCGATTGAGTCAGTTATAACCTAAAACCAGGTATATATATGCATCGGTTCAAGTTGCCATACCCCATTAGATGTTCTTAAAATATGGTTATCAGTCGAATTTTCTACTTTCCTTTGTTTATAAACTTTTTCGGATATCCGTTGTAGTTAAGTAACAGAAACTATTTAAAAGTTCTTTAATAGAACCTTTAGAGTAAATAAATTTCCCATTTTAAATCAGTTCTATCATTCAATTTTTTTATACATAATAAATACAGAGGAAGAAAGCATCATCTTTTCACTTATGGTCAGTAAAGTATGTTTAACATAAAGAATATATCTGTATCCTAGCGTTGACACCTACATTAGAACTAGAACTAATCACAATTCACCGTAAATATCAACAAGTTATCGATTGAGCTATCGGGTTTAGATAACTGCCAAATCGTTCAACTGTTGTAAAGTTACATGTACAACGATTTGAGTTTTACTGTTTTTAATAATAAGGACTACATCTAATCAGTCTACATTGATGTGCTTTCTTACTGGGATCAAGACACATTCAGCTAATTAATCCCACAACTAGAAAGATACCATAATCCTTGATGACATTGTTATTTACTAACAAGCTTTACTTCAACTTTGTGATTAGAGGCAATATCGAGGTAATCCGTTCAGAATGCATATATGTCAATAGACATCAACCCTATAGAGACTTTAATATCAACAGGAAAACTCAAACCATTATAATTAGAGAAAATTATTTACGAAATGAAATTGTAAATAAAGGTTGAAAATCAAAAATTAAAGAGGTGCACCTGCGACACCATAATCATAAGTCCTGTCAACCAACTATTGATTAAAATTATTCTGTAAACTGTAATCAGAATGTCTCAACCTCTTAACAAAATTCAAACCAATGCAAAAAAATTAACCTTTACGATCAATCTATACAAACAGTTTCGTTTGTTTAGATGGACACGATTATTTCTCACAGCAATTATTTACACTAAACTAGTATAGCTACCTTATATTTGTTTTGTTGCGTAACGTACAACATTAATCCGAACTGTGTAAATAGATGCATAATACCCTGTTAGAGTCTTCTAAATAAACACGATCAGTTGTTAGAGGCATCGGATGAAATAGATCAGGATCTGTTACAATCGTGTGGATGCACTCACTTTTTATCTTACTCCAGATTTTGAGTTCCAGTATTCTTTCATACACACCTGATCATGACATCTTTCTAAACCATATTCTCAATGTTTTACATTTTGTGTTATAATTGATACTGCAATTATTTCTACTCTTTTACAATTAGTTATGTTAATATCGTCTCGTTGTGTACGCATGAAACAGGAACATGGACTAACACATATTTGAACTAAAATCTACGTAGATTATGACCGACTGACTATGATATTAAGTTAAAGTGTTAAAACACACACACACATACAAAGAATTCTGCCAATCCCGAGATTTTCTAATGCGAATATTAAAGAGTTGGTAACTATTATAAAATATTTACAATTTTTAAATAAATATCGAGTCAATTTTTTTCTCATTAATAGTTTATTTTATATTTCCTTTTAAAATAACACTAACAGTATAATTGCTCCAGAGAGTGAGGAGTATCAGCTCTCCCACTCCAATTGCTTTCACATGGCTACAGCCATTGACAGGTAAGTCCTACTCCTCACTAATTGAGAGGATGAAAAGTGAATATCCGGTGATTTAACCGGATTGGCAGATACAGAGGAACCACCTAAAGGAGTTGGAAAACCCTTATTCGAAACCATTGGTGCACATAGGCTCCATGATCCTAAGGAAATAAAAGACGTATAAACCTATTATTGGTCACCGGATTACCATAGGACTGCATCTTTTGACGTTGCTCCACTCCGTCTTATGAATTAGTTCTGTAGGTTAAAGGCTCGTAGTGTGCCCTCCTAAGAAAACCACCTGCTTCGGTTTAGACACCCGGGCAGTATCCCAGTTCTCACACAAATCAAATGATTTGTGTGGTGCATATATATATATATATATATATATATATATATATATATATATATATATATATTTGGTGCCCAATGTTTATGTGTTTAAATAAATAAATAGAAACAGTATAATTCATCATTTAAATATTTCCAGAATTTCATTAAATGATTGTGATATTCCACTCTACGTGTATACAACATATAACTTTATATTATCAATGGTACAAAGAGACTATGAGTTCAGTTCAAAAGTGGTTATCTTTTAATTTTTGATAAACGATTAGCTAGTACTGTTTACTGAAATCAAAAACAAAATTTCAATATACAACAATAGTAGCTTAGTGATTAGAGTAATTAGTTTATAAATGCACTATAAGTATTTTGATTTAGATAAGCAATGGATACTACATATAAACAGTATAGTGCCAAACTGACAACATGAAGTTGTACTCAGTAAATGAATTACAAGAAAAACAATATCTACATTTAATCTGTATTGTAAGTATGATCATTCATTGTAAGACATAACCATTGTAAAATCAAAGTGCAAATCTTTTAAAAATGATTCATTAAACTAAATAAACTAATACACTATTAAACAAAAGGAAAAGCTTTACGTTTTATGGAATGGTACTAGTTCATAAACATATATGCATTATTCTTATCATACAACTGAATTTTGACTCAAGTAGATCTATGAGTAATGAATAAAAAATGTCAGTCAAGTTGTTCAACATACACAAAGGGAAAAATAAGATTTTCCGATATAATACAGCATGTACCGATTGAATCACACTTGACAGAGAAGATTTGGAGGATGTAAAAATTTTTATATATCTCCGTAGCATCATTGATCAACACGGTGGATCTGATGCAGATCTGAATGTGCAGATCGGCAAAGAAAGAGCAGTATATTTACAACTGAAAAACATCTGGAACTCAAAACAACTGTCAATCAACCAACACCAAGGTCAGAATTTTCAATGCAAATGTCAAGACAATTCTACTACATGGAGCGGAAACTTGGAGAACTACGAAAGCCATCATTTAGAAGATACAAGTGTTTATTAACAACTGTCTACGCAAAGTACTTCAAATCTGTTGGCCAGACACTATCAGCAACAACCTACTATGGGAGAGAATAGTCAGTCAGTCAGTCAGTAACAACGTGGAACTTCGTACGTACGTACATCAGTTCGAGTTGCCATACCACATTAGCACAGAGATTCAGTTATCGATTCAAATCCCATAGTGGTAGAGGTACTGAAAGTATAAGTAGAGATAGGGGACATTAAGGTTTGATGATGTTATTAAAGGAGTATAGTCCAGTGGAATAAATTGGGAAAGAAAATAAAGGACATGGAGAATTCAGAAGATTAGAGTTTGAGAGAACACAAAGAGTGGATGCACCTGCGCCATTGCAAACGATTTTGAGCCATGTCATTCAAGGTCTCTAACCATCGGTTGCTATCATCTCGCGGTCCCCAACCAGGTAGTCTACACCTACCAACATGACTCAGTCCACTTGTCAGTGACTTCATGGATTTCTGCCATGTTTTGGTCTGGCCGCCCCTAGCTTTCTTCCAACCTACTCCTACACCATAAAACATAGCACGTCGGGGCAGTCGGTGGTCGGGCACGCGCAACACATGTCCCAGCCATCTCAAATGATTGAGTTTCACTACTTCCTCAATTGATTTTCCATCCTTACCTAGTACCCGTTTCCTAACAACTGAGTTACTTACTCGGTGGTCCCAGGATATACGAGCAATGTTTCGAAGACATCTATGGTCAAATACTAGTAACCTACGAATATCCTCTACTCTTACCGGCCATGTTTCACTGCCATAAAGTAGGACGGAACGAACTGCTGTTCAGTAAACACGTCCTTTGGTTGATAGACGGATATCTCGCCTACGCCACAAATGACGCAAGTTGGCAAAAGCTATTCGAGCCTTTTGTATCCGTGCTGAGATTTCGTTACACACCAAACCACAAGGGCTGATGAGACTTCCGAGATAAGTGAAGCGGTCGACACGCTCAACTACTTCACTCCCTATCACTAGTTCGGGTGTCGACGCAACCCAATCCTGAAGTAACATTTTGCATTTCGAGGGAGAGAATCGCATGCCGAACAGGCTTGCATTGTTGTTTAGAGTGGTCAGCAGACTCTGCATTCTGTCAGCGTCTTCGCCAAATAGAACTATGTCATCGGCATATTCTAAGTCAACAAGTGGATCTCCCGGTAGAAGTTCAACTCCTGGAAATTTAGATGAGGAAAGTGTCATCTCTAAAAGGACGTCAACGACAAAGTTAAACAAGAATGGAGAGAGTGGACAGCCCTGACGAACACCACTTGAGGTAATCAATTCTGATGACAGTTCACCATAAGCTCTCACTCGACCAGTTGTGTTCGAGTAGAGAGCCTTTATAAGGTTGATGTACTTCTTTGGTACTCCCTTCAGTGACAAACATTGCCATAGAACCTTACGATCAACAGAGTCAAATGCCGCCTTAAGGTCGAGAAATACTACCATTGTGGGACGTCTGAATGTGTGTCTATGTTCTAGGACCTGACGTAATGTGAATATTTGATCAATACAACCACGTCCAGGTCGAAAACCAGCCTGGTTTTCTCTAGTCTGCTCTTCACGAGCTTTGGTTAGACGTCGAAGTATTATTGAAGCTGATACTTTAGACACTATATTAGTCAAACTAATTCCT